TTTAAGGCTTGTTTTCGCAACAGGATAATAAGCCCGATTTTCTGTCTGGATCTGCCCCTTCCAACATTAAGAGGTTGACCTAATGGTCATAATGCCCCTTTCGATAACCTTGATATATTGCTGCTCTGTGTGGTGTGTAAAGGGTCCTCTGGGTATTGCTCGGTGGAAAGTTGGGACCCACTGTATCACATAACAGGAAAATCAAACATGTTGAATGATCTTTTCCTGATATCTGAGCAAGTGTGATATTTCCCAGTTTACAGAGGGGATAACCTGATTAATGTAATATGTAGCCAATCAGAACATGTTTCCTAATAAAAAAATGCAACAACTCTCTAGTTTAGAGTCCCTGCTCATGCTGTCCACATTCCTTCAATCAATGCCTTTTCTTTCTTATTAGAAAATGTTTTTTCCATTAGTAATTAGTCCACAGTATTCCAAGTATTCCCTCTTTTCTCATCCCTCTCTCTGTTTATTGACTTTGAACTCACATTTGATCTTGTGATGTTTTGTGAGATTTCCTGTCTGCCATCTGGATTTTTCTGAATAAAATGTGTTGGTGTATCCTGGCCATGCGGCTGCACTTCACATTGTAGAACCAAACCTTTTATATGTTGAGGATTGTTTATTATGACATGCACTGTTTCTTTGGTTTTTGAAAATCCTCCGAAATTTTTAAAAACTTCTGTTAGGTAGCAGATATTGTCTTATTTGTGTATCACAATTAAATAAGAATCACTGGGTAGAAGGAAACAGAGTTATGGATACATTTCAGTAGGTTTCCTAAACTTGAATCTCACTGTGGTGAATAAACCTCAACAGTTTAGAATAGTGTAACAGTTCAGAAAACCTCTTTTATTTAATTAGAATGGTACATGAGTCAATAAACAGTGATTAAAAAGGACATCCAGAACCTATTTAATGGCTTTCAAGGAAAAACAAGATTTCCATCAGCAGAGTAAAGCCACTTAAAGGGCTAATTTGTCATCTGTACATGATAAGAGTAAATTATTAGGTCACGTTGCTTATTAGACTTAGTATTCATGAGGCAGTAACACTTAACCCACTTTGCGTTTTGTGAGTTTATAACCTAATGTAATGTAATTTTTTATATAGACTTTAAAATTAGTTGCTGTACTTCTATCTGTATCCTAAATTGTCAGTACTTTGAGCATTTAGTTTTAGTAAGACGGTCCACAGTATCTGAATCCATCTAGGTCGCCTGTTCTCATGACTTTGTGCCTACTTCCGATATCACAATCATGTCCTTCGGATATAATAGCCTAATAGTCTACGCTACTTCTGTCACTTTTTTCTCATGGCGCCAGACAAAGAAGGGGAATTTAGTCAGACAATGTGGAAAAGAAACACAGTAGATAAATACAGAGGGATGGAAATAACTGTCCTTTTTTTCCACCATTATTTACAGTCATGGGGGGGTGTGCCTGGATTGTAAAGCTGCTTAGTGGTATGATTTAGCTAGGGGATTTGAATCTGTGCTCACCCCCACTTCAAGCACCGGAGTGGAGGCGGAAAAGAAAGTGAGATTGAGGGGGAGTGTGTTCATGTGTGATAGTGTGTAATGGCGTTGGAGAAGTGCAATATGCTTTGGCTGTATGTTAAAATGACCTACTTCCTGTTAGCTTGCTCTCAAACCGATTTCTGTTTTCTGATGTGCAGAGGAACGTGGGGGAGGTTCTCCAAGGGGTCTATGTGGGGGTAGAGGTTGACGTGGCATGGCAAAATGAGGGATAAGTAGGTGCCCTTTGGGGCTTTCTATGTGGAGGGAAGTTAATGCAATGTGTGTGAAATGTTAATTCTCCACTCACCCTATATGTTATGTGCATTTAATGTTCTGTGAGCACTCACATTAAAGCAATTGTTGCATGATGGGATGCTCTCTGCAGCTTTAATTACCCCTAAATAGAGGTTGCTGACAGCTGACTATCAGTAAGGCAATATTTGAGGGAGCCAGTCTTGCCAGATGTCAACCAGTTGAGTGTAAATACAGGCTTTTCAAATTTACCTCTGTAGCCCAGCAGGAGAAACAGCCAACATGTAGAGGACAGTTCACTGATCAAATAAGACCTTGTTTGTCTTGTTGGAAAACGATGTGTTATGGTGCAAAACGTACACTGCACAGCAACCTAGACACACTACAGATATTAGAAAACGTGGTGATAGCAGCATCATGGTGTGGGGTTGATTTTCCTTTGCTGAGACATGAATTTGGGAAATTGAACTTAAATACAGAGCATTTCTAAATTCTGCTTTACACTTGCTCTATTCTAAATATTTGCTCAGTTTCAGTTGACTGCCTAACTGTTGAGTCACTTACGTCTCAATTTGTAAATTACCCCCAGCAAATCAACATTTGGTTGATTCTTTTTGGTAATCGTTTACAACAAGTTCAGCTGTCAGATTTACACGGATTTACATTAATTCCTAGTATTGGTCTTTATGACCAAAATGATGTGACCACCCCCACCCATCCCCTGCTGTGTGAGTGATATCATGATGTTTTTAGAAGCTTAAACTTATAAAGAAAAAAAAAACACATTTCATTTTTTGGTTGCTCCATTATAGGATGGTTTGGGAGGCTGGAAAGCACAAACTAAGTTGCTAAGGAAGGCCCCCCACATTTGTAGTTTTTATCAAACATGTATTGAGAAGGTCTGTTCAAATATTTTCCTTTTACCAATGTGAAAGCATTGACAACACTGTACATGGAGATGTTAAAGAAATGCATACTAATTAGTTAATGTGTTCCTATGTAAAAAATATAAATAGCTAAATAAAATGAACCTTGCATAAATCATATCTGTTGTTTTGTTAGATTTATGTGTTTATTTATATAGAAGGAAGGCTTTGGTTAAAATATTTTAATGCCCATTCCTTAATCTTCCTTAATGTAATTTTTCAAAGACATTTTAAAGAGATTCCCTCTTGAAAATTCTGTGAGGCATAAGGTTCTGACATTAGGCCAAACCAGAATTGTAGACCCATTAAGATATAGGAGGTAAACATAGTAAAAAGTATTTAGAGTTTTGTTTTATCTTTCCTCAAGAAGATTAAAAAGGAAATTATTATGGAATTTTATACTGAAACTTTTACAAAAAAACCCCAAAACATTTTGATTATTTACTCTTAAACTAGTTGACTGTATATATAAATAGTGAATTGCTGTTTATGCCGAAGATTTTTTTTTTCCTTGCAAGATATAATTGGTTAAATTGGTTAAAACCAATTGTTATTTTGTTTGTTCGTTTTGTTTTCTATTTAGAGTCACCTTTAACTATTCATATGCTTGCCGTTCATTAGAACCCTTGCAGTTACGGAGCTCATTAATGGACCATGGTTATCAGAAACTACACTGCTGGACACATCACATGCTTTATCAATAAATGAGGCATAGCTTTATAATACTCTAGCTTGTAGTATTTATATAAAAAAATACATTTTGCATAGCAGTTTTTAGAACCAGCTTGATTTGCATCTTTGCCTTTAAGTAAGATTTTACAGTTTTACTGCTGAGTCTTATGGGTTCTAAAGTATTTGTATGTTATTATGCAAATGTGTCCATTTTCTTGTAAACTTGTTTAATGCTGCAATATTTGGCCTCCAATCACCTCAGGGCTGCCCTCTGTGGGTTAATTGTTGGTTCTGATTAGATTACCTTTGCAAAATAATATTTTTGTATGTGAAGAAAATGCATAGTAACTGAAACAGGCAAGAAAAGTAAGAGTAAAAAATTCCCTTGACATCTGAAGAAATTGGATTATACATAGTCATTATTCTGGTTCATAAGAGATGAACTCATATGCCTTAACAAAGTCAGATGGTTAGTGTAAAATATGATTAGTTTCAATTCTTTAAAAAAAAATAAATGTTAAATGTCATATTTTTTCCTCCTATTTACCTAGAAGTCTCACTTTTCTTATCCATCAGTGCAAATTTAAAAATGTCAAGCTACTTTTTGTTTTTATCGAAACTGACCTCAGATAAAAACTTTTCAAATTTTTTATTTGAAAGGTGCATTCAAACATCCAAATAGGAAGACCAAACAAAACCGACAAGATGAAAAGAATCATAAAATACTTGAAAATACATAAAATTAAAAAAAGTGTGTTTTTAGGAAAATTGAGATCCTTTGTAGACAAACACATCCTGATTTAGCTTTTAAAAAGGCGTATTTCATCGATGACTACCCATTCTAACCTGTATTAAGATGTGTAATCCTCCTTTTCACTCTAACTCTACTACTTTATGGATAAAAATTGGTTAAAATTTGATCATAATGTCTAAAAAACACTTCATTATGCAACAGCCTTTAAGTAACCATTTATTAAATCATCAAAACTGTTTTTTGGAAAAGATTGAAAAGGAGAAGATGTTAAGGCTTGTAGAAAACTTTAACTTGGAGTTTAATTTGTACAATCAACCCAGGTGCGAAAGTGCTCTAATTGTAAGAGCAAAACTAAATGGCTAAAAACTAAGAGGGAACATGACTGAACAAACCATCTCTACAGTGGAAGATTGTGATGGCAGCTTTTCTCCAGCGGAGAGAGGAAAAGCTGTTATAAGTTCAAAGGGATATCAATACTTGTGCAAGGCGAGCTCTAAACTTCATATGATGATTCTACGAGCTTGGCGGCTCAAAAGCCAAAATGTGCTCCCCTCATAAGTGCAACCACCTGCTGGGCTACATTAAATTTGCAGGAACAGCATGATGCTGCAGTCTCCTCCTTTCCAATCTGTTCGCTGCATTTAATCCTTAACTTCAAAATCGAATCACACCTCCATTCATTGGCAGATTAATTTAGGTCAAATTTATGTCTTTTATATGAAATCACTGACCAGGTATACATTGCAGAGCTTAATCCCTGTGACTCCGACTGGCTGTTTGGAAGATGAAATAATTTAATCCATCGTCATAACCCAGCCCTTCTCTCTCACTCACATGCAGTTTAATTTTCCCCCCACTCTTTATTTTTTTTCAGTGCCCGAGGACCTGTCTTTGGAGGAGAGAGATGAGCTTTCCAACATACGTCGCAGAAAAAAAGAGCTTCTCGATGACATCGAAGTAAGTCACAAAAATTCAGCTGCAGTTGATAGCTGAGGGTTTTGGTGAACTATATCATTGTAAGACTTGATAGATGGGATAAAAATGTAGAAAAGTTTGATGTCATATAACACGATGATGCATGAAGCTTCTCTCGTATTTGCATGCAAGTAGTGACATCTAACATGTCACTTGTCTCTCAATTGAGTCACATAGCTTTACTTCAGAACACCAACATATTGCCTTATTGTAGATTAAATATATACTGTATGTAAATTAAATTGAGGCCTTTTTCTTATTGCAGCGGCTGAAATTTGAGATTGCCGAAGTAATGAATGAGATTGAACAGCTGACTTGTGTTGGGGAGAGGTGAGTTTGGGTTCACTTTTGTTCTTTATTTTAATTGCGATTATTTTACTTCTGCTCTGTAGAACAAACTATTTCACATGAGTCTGAGAGAAGGGATTATGTTAATTATAATGGAATTAGAATCGAATTGTAATATTTTGGGCGACACTTTCCTTTTTAAAATGGGAGGGTTACTGTATATAGGCCAGTGGTGTTTTTTATCAGAATCCCTAAAGAAAGTTTTGTGATTTTCATTTTGTCTGACAAATTCTGGCACACAAGAGGATGTTCAGCTTAAAATTAGGAGAAAGAGGCAGCTGCATTTATTGGATCTGCTTTGGAGCTTAAGTTTTTTTTTTTTTTTCAAAACTGTCGCTGTTTAGCTCCATGTTTGTTCCATTTTCTTTGGTCTTTTGTCCACTATGGTTAATTATGACAGCAGCATCACACCTGTCCTTATGTGTTTTGTGTCCACAGCTTAATCCTCCATTGTTTGGAGAGTACAGTGAAATAGCCCCTCACCTAAACCTTAATCAAACAGTCTGTATATGGCTGCTTTTCTGTGATTGGCTGGAGTGAGGCCATGTATCAGGCTGTTTGTATCTCAGGTGCAGCTGGTAAAACTGGGCTCAGGGTATTTTGGGTACAGGGAATCACTGAGGGCATAAAGTTGCACATTTTACTGGAGAGTGCCTTCAGTGTGCTTTTTAAAGCATTAAATCATTTAAATGGGACATAATATTCTTTCCAAGCTACAGCAGGAAGAGTTAAGCTGGTGGCATGAAATGTACTGTTGCCTTTATGCAGCAGTAAATTCTTGCAGCTGTCCCATGTAGTTTTTAAACTTTGTGTAAACTCAGTGTTCAATAGAGCCGTAAAACCTAGAGGACAAACAACAGAGGCACAACCAATCAAACTTTGGCAGCTGATTTCTGATCTTTTTTCTTTTCTTTGGTCTCCTTTTAGCAGTTCTCTATGCGAAACAAATTGGACTGGTCAATGAAACTTCTCAATACACAAAATTTTTCATAGATTTCATTATTTCTTCAATGAACTTTGATCCAAAACTAGAAGGCATTCTGGGCATTGGCAGTTGGTGGTTGGCTTAAACTTCAAAATACGGTAGATGTATACAAAAAAACAATCAAATGTATACTAAGTTATCACACCATTATTTATATGAATGCCAACAACAAAAAACTTTAAAAAAATTTCTTAAAAGTGCTTTAAATCATACCTGTCTAAATTCATGCTGGTTCAGATCCTTGTTGCTAAATCATTCTTTATAACAGATGGCTATAATGTCAGCCCTGTGGTGGTGTGCAAATAAAATTGCGCAGGAGAGCTGCACCCCAGGATGGTCCTATCTTTTTCATTGAAGAGGAGCTACTGTACATGTACAACTTTTAACAAGAGTCAATAGGCAGAGTTTTGCACCATAGGGCAGAAATACTTCACCAGTGCGACTATGGACAAAACAACTTTACGTCATTAAAGATTAGATATTTATCTTGCACATAAAAAAGATATATATTAATATATTTAGAAATATTTTAATTTTATATGTCAATTTTCTGATTCTGACCAGTGTGACTTTCATCATGTGTATTTAATATACAGCTTTTCATTCTAAAATCTGCTCACAGTTTGGTTTAACAGTTAAAGCTTGAATTACCTTTCATAAGCTATTCAGTTAATTACTGATTTTAAATCTCACACATTTTGCTTCTCTATCATTGGTCCATACAAAGTCCTCTTTCATCTGTCCTGTGGTCTTTGTTTATACTCTCCTCTTGTTCCTGCCTTCTCTGCTTCTGTGGCCTTACTGTTCGAATCACTGCCATGGCATAAGCTACATAATGCCTATTATGGCTCTTCTTGCTTAGTTGGGTTACAACATTATAATCAAGCTTTTTTCTTATGGATACCTTTTTCAGCTCTGTGAGGATGCACAGAATGTATTTTATAATACTTCTTTTAAATATGTATTCACAGCAAAACCTCACAAAGAAACAAACAGATTGCCATGGGAAGGAAAAAATTCAACATGGATCCTAAAAAGGTAAGACCTTAAACTTTGAATTAGTCTTCAAAAACAAAATAATTTTATTTGTATTATTTATTTGATTTATGGAAATAAAGGCAGCATAGTTTTCAAACCAGTCTGTAAGTAAAACTGGTTGTTTTAACAGGGGATCCAGTTTCTTTTGGAAAATGATCTTCTGCAGAACACCCCAGAGGACATCGCACAGTTCCTCTACAAAGGGGAAGGGCTCAACAAGACAGTCATCGGGGACTACTTAGGGGAACGGTAAACTCTCCAGTTTTCCTCCTGCTGTCTTTTTTACCTCCAGTTTTTTTTCTTCCTGTGTTTTTTGTGAGCTTTGGTTGCCAGTGGTCTGACCTATGCACAAATCTCCTGGAATTCTGTGCCCTGAATGTAGCAGGGCTCAGCCAGGAGATAGTATAAATAACAAAAAAAAGAAGAAAACAAAGGCAAAGAGAACATGTGGTTTTTATCTGAAAGAGGTAGAGCTGTCAAAAAACAACAGCCATAGTTATGAAGTTGAAATAGTTGCTCTAGCATGGCTGGAGGATTTAGCTTTTCTCAAAGATCACCAAATTGCACCCTTCTGCATTTCTGAAATAGAAATGCACTGAAGTGTTTGACTACATTTTGTTCTGCAATTAAATAAATTAAATCAGTTTATAAGATGCATGACATGTGATATGCATTTTTCTTCCTAGTGATGACTTTAACATCAAGGTCCTTCAGGCATTTGTGGAGCTTCATGAATTTGCAGACCTCAACCTTGTTCAAGCCTTAAGGTGAGAAAGTCAAGTACTGCCCTTTACTTCAATTCGTCCATTCAGTATTCTTATTGTTTGTTGGATATATACTTTACAGTTAGAACCCTTAATCAAGTGAACAATTATCTAAAAACAATTAGAGACTCCAGAGGACTCAAAGAAAAAAAAAGTTTAAAATCCTTTTTCATGTTACTCAGGAAATTGGCCAAAATAAGATCAAATCATATTTTTAATGAGGAATGTGACCATATCTCTATACCTTTAATTACCATTTGTATATGTATAAATTTTAAGGTAATAAAGATTTAATGTGGCACACAAATACCAAGTGGTGAATAATTATAAGGTCAAAGGAAAATGAGAAAGCTAACATTTGTTAAGCCTTTGCTTTATTTGCAGCTACAAGTTTGTCTTTACTGTTAGGATAATTGTCATTGATGATGTGTGAGTTTATTACACCTTAATATTAGCTGCCTGTTGTGTGTCAGAACTGATGTTTTCTCCAGTAGCTTATCTAATTAGGCCAGTTGCTTAATGTACAGTTATAATCTTCATTCTGCATGTGGCAAAGACTTGGGAATGGAATGAAAGCAGTGTCCTTGATCTAAGAACAAAGTTTAATATTGTAATATGGTTGAAGTCATGGATGTCTACTTATCTGCAAAGACTGGAGTTGTATAAAATGCTTCTTTAACTGTTTATCGGCCCCGCTTCAAGAGATTTGAGCCCAGTTGGTAAGCAGCTGCCTTCTGTAACTTGAAGCAACTTCTCTGATTTGAGTTAGATTATAAATTTTATCCAAATCTGTTGTCATGTCTCATGATTATGTAATACATGCACATTAAGAAGTGTTAGAGTTTATTCCGAGAGATCTCTTTTCAGTAAAAAAAACCTTACACTCTTTAAGTATTATGATGATGGTTTGATCAGTGTTTGGTTAAATATTCATAGCCTTGTAGATTTTGAAGTCTATGTCACATGTTCACCAGTCTTCATGAGGCTGTTTGTTCACTAATGTTCTCTATAACAAACGTTCTTGGCCTTCACAGACCAGTTACAGTTCTACTAGATTTTATTAACTGTTTTCCAATGGCAAGTGGTTTTTCTTATTTTGGGGTATTCCATTAAAATTGTGTCATTTTCTTTCCACATTAAAAATAAGCAGAACTTTATGTTGGTCTGCTACAGAAGACATTGGCTGCCTTTTTATGAGGCTGTAGTGAGTTCAATAAACGTCTGAGATGCTTTACAAGTCATCATGTTTCCAAATGTGTCCTCTGAAAGCTCATTTTTATATTATGTAAATAAAGGCTTCAGTTTGATTTGTAACTGAACAAAATTCTGCAAAGAAAACAGCCCTTGTTGATTCCGTCTCGTCTTGATATTAGATTTAGATAATAAGATGATAAGATCATGATGTTTCTGCTGTTGCAGGCAGTTTCTGTGGAGCTTCAGACTTCCTGGCGAAGCCCAAAAGATTGATCGCATGATGGAGGCATTTGCCTCCAGGTACTGCCAGTGCAATCCTGGTGTCTTCCAGTCCACAGGTACATACACACCTCAGCTTCCTCATGACTCAGTCTTGATGGATAAGACCTTTGCACAACTAGATCAATTAATTTGAGTGTTTTGTTGAATTTACAGCGGCCATAGTTTATCTTTTAACTTTTCAAAAATACCTCGACATCCACTTTCAGAAAAAATCATTATTCTTATTTCTCCTTTATTACTTCATTAGAGATAAATGAACAATTGTCAGATCTTCAGATTAAGTTAACATGTTGCTCTATAAGTGGCTTTCTCCCTGACCTCTGTGTAATCAGCATCTGTGTCTCCAGCAGTTATAGCGATATTGATTTCTGCTCAGTGGCGGTCATTAGTGCAGTTTTGTCTTGTTGCACCCGTCTACAGCCTCCTGTGTTCAGGTCGCAGCCCAGGTCATTAGTATTGATGCAGCAACACACCCTGGCTAAGTTATTGGTCATTTGGTGAGAACATAGTGGCCAGCATTATAAATCACACCTCAGAGGATGTGGACAGAGGCTGTCTGGATGGATGAGGTAGAGGAAGCTGTGCAGGAGTTATGATCTGTCTCCAATTGTGGTGTATGGGTTCAAATCCCCCTTCTGACACCAAATGTGAGGGATTTGCACAAACCACCTAGAAAACCACTGAAATTTTTTTAAAAGGGTCGTAATCTATTTAAAAAAAAGTGTTCAAAAAAACATAAACTGGGCCAAAAACAGATTTCAATTCAGGTACTAACATAAAGAACTCAAGCACAAACTGACCTATCAAACAAGACATGAGGGAAACTTAAATAGGTGCTGATCAGACCACTGTTGACACACAATGGGGATAACTGACAATCTAACAAACAAATGAACTTAATTACACAGAAAAATACTGGCCAGACACCAAGTACTTTTTAAATTTAACAAATTAACAAAACTACCCAAAACAAAGAATATCTAAACAAGTGGGCTCCGGTTTTTCCGCTCGCACTTCTCCTCTTGCCTATTTATTTTAATTGTAATTATTAATTAATTTATTTATTTACCTATTTATTTGTTATTTTTTTTTTTTTCTCTTCCTCGGTGGGGGGGAGCGGTTGCGGGCGGGTCGGTGTCTGGTGTCCGCTGTCGCATTGTGGGGGCCCCTTTTTTTTTTTTTTTTTTTTTTTTTTCTCTTTTTTTCTTTGGGGGGTTTGGCATGTCTGTTTTCTCGGGGGGCAGGCGGGCCTGCTGGGTGGGGGTCCTGCTGGCGGCGCGCCGCTGGTGTGTGGGGGTCCGGGCGGCTCCGGCGGGGGTAGTGTTGGGGGGCCGGTCTGGGCGGGCTGGCTGCGCTGGCTGGGTATTCGGGTGGGTTTTCCCTCCTGGAGGCATGGCGGGGCTGCTCTGTTCCCACTGATCGCGGCGGGTGGGGCTGCGGGGCGGGTGTGGGCCTGGGGTGGCTATGACCGGCGCGTGGTGGGGGGCCGGGGCGGCGGAGCTGCTCTGGCCGCGTGTCGGGGCCTGGTGCGGGCTGCGGGGGGGGTGGCGGACGTGGCTGGGCTGCTTTGGCATCGTCCGGTGGGGGGGCGGCGCGGTTCGCTCCGCTCTGGCTTTGTGCTGCCCCTCTGGCTGCTGGGGGGGGTGGTTGCGCCGGCTGCGGTCTGCTCCTCTTGCGGTTTTGCGCCGGGCGGCTTTTCTGCTCTCGGGCTGATTCTGTGCGCGGTGTGTTTCGTTGCGCGCTGTTGGCATCGGTCTTGGTGGGGTGGGGCTGCGCTTTTGGCCGGGGGGGCGTTTTGGGGGGGGTCCCGCGGCGCTCGTGGCCGGTTCGCGGCGGATGCGCATGGGCCCCGGCCGGGGGCGGGGCCGTCTTAGTGTTTTCCTGGGTGGTGCGGTCGCGGTGGGTGTTGCGGCCGGTCGCCGGGGCTTGGTGCTGGGGGGCGGGGCGTGTTTCGGTGCTCTGTGGGGCTGGGGCGTTTCGGTCGGCGCCGTGGGGGGGCTGGTGTTCGGCGCCCGGCCCTACTTCGGGGTGGCCGGCTGCCGGCGGGGCCCGCGGACTCGTCCCCGCGGCTCCCCGGGGCGCCGGCATGGCGGTGGCTGGGGGGCTTCCTCGTGGCTGTCTCTCCTCCTGCCTTGGTGGGGTCTGATTTCCGGGGCTGGCCCCGCCTTGGTGCCTTCGCTTCTGGGGTCCCCTTGGGCGCCTGGGGCTTTGAGTCTCCCGGCGCTGGACTCAGTGCTCTGGGGGGTGTGCCTCTCCGGCTCTCCACAACCACTATTGAGCATTTTTTTCTATGGTTAAAACTTTACATGCACAAGTTCACCCTCACAAACAACTACAGGTGCTAGGCTTCAGGTACTTAGAGATTCACTTCCAAACAGAAACCCCACATTCATATCTTCAGGTAACACAGAGTACATGTCAGACTTAATAATATTACTTTAGTGATAGTTTCAAGGTGTTTGCTTTATTGTATATCTCGTACCATGTTTTTTGGTTGTGCTGTTCTTTTTTCTTTTTTTTTTTTTTTTTCTCCATCTCATTACAGGTGTTGAAGCAGACTGAAAATGTTTTGTCATTGTCTCCTTCCTATCTCCTCTTTCTTTCATCTTTTGTCCTGTTTTTTTCTTTTTCTTTTTCCTTCTTCTTCTTCTGTTTTTCTGCTCTACTTACATTGCAGTGTCCATATGAACTGTAAAACTCCCTGCATAATTATAATAAAGCAATTTATATACATGAAACAAGTGGAGCGGTATGGCAATTGCGATACCGCTACACTTGTGAAAGTAAAATCTGTTGGGCTCCTTTTGGCATCAAGACAATTATTCTTATTGCCACCTTGCCAGACAGGACACTGTAAAAAAAAAAAAAAAAAAAAAAAAAAAAAAAAAAAAAAAAAAAAAAAAACAAGTGATAAACAAAATTTCCTTCCTATTACAACAAATATTGTGACCTGCTGACTAGCCTGCTACAGTACAACTAATTATGAAGAAAGCTGGAGCTCATTGCAACCATCAAGCAGTAGATCCAAATTAAAATGGCAACTCAAAGAAACATAAATGAATTGATTGCATTTTAACCAAAATATAACAAACTGACAAAGTTAACTAAATGTCAGGCTAATGAAAATATCTGAAATGTGCAACCCATTTTGAAAATGAAAAATATAAAACTTACCACACAGCTTTAGAGTGTGACAGCAGGCCGTCACATACCTCTTTCCAACTGGTTGAAAAAAAAAATTAATCCTGGGAACAATCGGGTTTCAGAGACAGTGGGAAGATGGGAAGAGCTAACTAACCTGTGTCAACCTTGGCAAAGTTGCTTGTCACTCAGCAAGCAACTTGGGTTAAACTTGCCTTCAATTGGCTCGGCTCTGATCAGCATACAGTGGGAACACCAGACCCGGGTCGATCTGCTAATTTACATGATGCCCTTAAACACAACGTTCCTACGTCCACACAAGCCAGTCGCGTCTGATCTAACAAGCCAAAACTACTCTGCTTACATTCCATAAACATGGCGAAGCACTGGTAAGAGGGATTTGGAGGGACTGAAGAACAAAATAATACAGCACACTTTATATGGGTCGGCTCCCTTTCATGTTGCTGAAACTGTTTGAAGGCGATTTTAACCCGGGTCACTTGCCTAGTCGTTTCACACGGGTCGACACAGGTCAGTGAGCTGATTGATTTTTCGACCATTGGGAAAGAGGTGTAAGAAGCCGTACAAATGTTTAAAGAATAACAATCGAATTAACACAACAGAAACTGAATCTTAATTTCTTGTTGCTGGCCACTGCAGGAGGTTAGAAAAAATGTACATATTTATGAAGATATCTGTTTTTATAAACAATTTATAAAAAAAACTACCTTTGTGGCATAATGCCTTACTGAGGACAAGCTGAGGACAGGCCTAATAGCGATGTTAATAAAAACTGATGAAAGGTGCTCCAGCATTTACTAAATGTATAAGGATTCTGCCATTAACACACTCATTAGAAATTCTATATTCTAATATTTAGTAGAAATAATTTTCATTATAGCAGTGCTTCTTTTTTCATGCGGTAGTCTCTTCCAGAGGCAAGACAAGTCCCTGAAACTGTCCAATTTCCTCCACAGACACTTGCTATGTCCTCTCATTTGCCATTATTATGCTGAACACCAGCCTTCACAATCCTAACGTCAGAGATAAACCCCCAGTGGAGCGCTTCATCTCCATGAACAGAGGGATCAATGAGGGAGGAGATCTCCCAGAGGAGCTACTCAGGGTGAGGATGCTGACTTGGTTGGTATAGCAGGACAGATTTACCCCTTGGTAAAGTGGTGAAGTGTTTACCTTTAGTGTTGATGCTGTTTTTTTTTTTCATTTGTTCATTTTTGTCACTATTTACCAGGCAAATAATTTATCCTAGTCCTTAATTCATTTTTTTAGGTTATGGTAAAAAGAATCCACCCACTTTCAGATGCATTGTTTAAGATTTACCAGGATCTTTTGAAACTGAAATAGTTTTAAAACGTCTTTGTAACTCTTCCCAGATTAATTGGGTGGCAGCAATTGCTTTGCAGATGTTATTGCTGATGTCTTTCCTCTTTGGCTTTGAGTTAAAATACACTTCAGTGCTTCAGAGTGGCAAAATTCTCCTACTTGCTGAAAACATAGAACCTGGTAGAGACAAGGATCCTTAGTGAAGTTCTCTGTTAATCCAGCAAATCTGTGATTATAAGACACATTAAGATAAATTAATCTATAAACTTTTTGCACCAGTGTATATCTGAATCTATTAAAGAAAAAATATTTTCCAACTGCCTGAGTTTTTAATTTAAAGCTCCTTTTCATGATCAGAGTTGTTTTATTGAGGTTTGGGGAATGCTTGCTGGTGCTGTAATTTGGATGTAAACTATATCCCTGCATTTCTCTTTTCCTGTGGTAGAATCTCTACGACAGCATCAAGAGTGAACCCTTTAAGATCCCGGAGGATGACGGAAATGACCTGACACACACGTTCTTCAACCCAGACAGAGAAGGATGGCTGCTTAAATTGGGTTAGTGTGAGTCTCCCTCCATTCAGCTGCAGGGACAGTGTGAGACATCCTGGATGAATTAATTTGTTTACTCTTGCATTTTATTTGCCTTACAGCTGGGGATTTTTTCTTTTTTTCTCCTAACAAAGGCTTAAACTGCAAAGTGTTGTCACGCTAGGCGGAAGTGTTACAGCATGGTGCACAGACCTAATGGCAGCAAAAGCTGTTTAAAAGGAGCTGTAATGATTAGCTTATTATTTTTGATGAAAAGAACTGTAAAGTAGTGATGTGAAAGACTGAAAGTATAATTTTAGATGGTGTGACGTCACATACCATCTCTCTGCATTGTTCTCCAGCCTCATTTTTAAAGGCCGGGCCGGCCCCTCCCTGCCCAGAGAGAGTGGCTTAGTGTACGGACAAAATGGCAGTGAGGGCGTCCAGCAGATTGAAAACATTCACCTGAGGACGACCATTTGCCAAAATGAAGTTCTTTTTCTAACAGCATGATAAAGTTACAGGTTACTCAATCCTTTATTGGACACATTCCTCTGAAAGGTGATATTCTATTTATCCTTTGCAAATATATGCATCCTAGGCGACAGGAGGAAATGGAGCAGGGGTGAAATGGTCTAGCTCAGAGATGTTTCTAGATGAGTGGTCAGAATAACAGTAAACCAAGAAGGAAGGCATCATAGTGACATGGCTCATTGATGTGTGGATGACGAGATGATCACAATACTTAATGAAGGTTTAAAAGGTAGCTTTTAAGATACAATTATACATTTCAGTCCACGATTTTAAATCAGAAAGGAGATTGGGCCCAGTATTTTAGACACTTTACATAGTTTTATGTAAACATCTTAACATATCCATAATCTTAAACTAATACTATTTCTGGCTGGCTTCCATATTTGTAGGCTGTTGCTCTTTGCCAACATGAAACACCAAATTCTGTGCTCTGCTTTGGTAATTCTCATATAATCTGCCCAGGCACCAGAAAGTAAACAGGTTACACACTAAAGTAGTTCTAGACCCTACCTTTTGGGTTTGAAAGAAGAAAAAACTTGATGAAGTTGTTGATGGAGGGGACCGATGGTTTATGAATAGAATAGAATACAATACAATAGAAAAATCCCTTTATTGTCCCACAATGGGGAAATTCTGGATTTTAGAGCAGCAAAAAGATAATACAAAAAATGGTCACACAAATTTGGTATAAGAATAACATACTAATGAAGAGTTAAAAAATAAACAAATGAAAGACTGTTGTAAAGTATTTTAACAATATAAATACTGTGCACCTGCAGAATAAATAACTAATATATAGCTGTGGACACAGTAATGGATATTTCAAAAATAGCAGCAACATCAGAGATGTACAAATTACAGTAGCATGTTATTTAAATGACTAAGGTAAAAACTGGGCAAAATCAGCATGAATGTAAGAACTTATGGAGGTTGTTGGGAGCATTGATGGTTATAGAGTCTTACAGCTGCTGGAAGGAAGGATCTGTGATAACGCTCCCTGATGCATTTAGGGTGCAGCAGTCTGTCACTATAGGAGCTGTCCAGTTCTGCAACAGCTTCACGAATGGGGTGGGAAACATTGTCCAACAGAGATGTTAATTTAGTTAGGATCCTGCAAGTAACATCCCCACAATGGGGAATTTTACTTACAGTACATCTTGGTTGACAGATGAGAAGGATAATAGTTAATTTATAGTAGATTTTTGTACCTTAAAGGAAATGTTTACTGATTTTTTTTTTTTTCAAATGCTGCTTATAAATGATTGATGTTTTATTTAAGCTGTTTTTTCAGTTGGTATTAAAACCAGGGTTTGCTTAGAAGCTGAATTGTTACTTACAAAGTGAATTGTGATAATAAGTCAACATTTTCAATAGAAAAACATCGATATTTTTTCCTGTAGCCCAGCTCTAGTACCACTTGATTATGTTGGAGAAATAAGAATATAAAAAGTTTTTTTCCTCCTACTTTTATAACTGTAAGGTTTTATTTGAGCATTGTAAAGTTAAATGTGTCGGGTTAAATCCATACTTTCCCTAAAACAATGGCAGCTGGAAGATGTAGCAACTACAGTAGTAGAGCATCTTTCAGACTGATAAGCTGTGCAAACAGATGGAAAAAAAAAAGAAAGAAAGATTTTAAAAAGCATGCTAGGACAATTCCCCAAATTATCCTTGGTGAATATGCTCAAACTCAGGAGAAAGCATATTTCTGAATCTGAAACAAAATGTGCTGCTTGCACTTTCTTGTGCTAAATGAAAATTAGTCCCTTCTTCTTTGATTTCCAACTTTTACTTTCGTATAAGCTGCATGTTTCAAAGCGTGGGGGAAAAGTAGCGGCTTATAGTCCATAAAGTAGGGTGATTTTGTTCTAGGTTGGAAACATTTATTTTCCTTTTCTTAAAGAAGTAAGAGGAGATGTTTTCAAAAAGGTTGTGTCATACACAAAATGATAAGAGCTCTTGATCAGGAAAGAACCAGTGCTTGTCTGCTTAAACAACCAACAGGTTGCTTAAATACATCAATGTTACTGCATGTTGGGAGCCTATATTGCATGTATTCAGGGTAGATTCATGACTTTAAGTGATGTCTGAATATTATTCCTAATGCCTCATGGCTTCATGTGTCCTCCCAGTCTGTCGTTGTAATGTTCTTAAATTACATAACTATTTAATCATGTCGGGTATTTTAGACCAAGTTTTATAGCTAAATATAAATAATATTTAGTAGCCAGGGTGCAGTTTTTTCTTGGGTTAAGAGGCAAACTCACTGCAGGTGGTTTGTTTTATTGCCCCATACATGCACCTGGTTTCGACCTGCACATTCCTCTAACTCTGTGTAATGTCTCTGAGGTCTTGTTCTGCTGGTGAGCTCAAATACAAACTGCCCCAGTGTGGTTCACAGACCTAACGTGATTATAATAGGGTACAGCTCCTCCCCGGAGTCATTTCCCAGCACCAGTTTGGACAATGATGCTCCTAATTTAACTCTCTAAAAATAAACCCTGGAGGATGCAGAGGAATAAATGCCTTCTTTTTGGTGGAAATTTCTGTGTAAAGCGGAAATTTGTCCATGCTAATTCAACAGCCAGACTTTATTCATACATAAGGCAGCAGATAACTTTTCAAATTATGTGTGGCCCTGTGGAGGCTCAGGGGATGGAAATGCTGCAGGGAAATCTAGAAAGTTTAGTCAGTGCAAACAATATTACAGGAAGCCCCAGATTTTGATTAGTATTTTTTTTTATATAACAGGTGCACTGATGTATGAAGACATTCATAAGGGCTCTGGTATTAGGGCTTCCGTTTTGTTTTTATTTTATATTTCTGCAGTTTTTTTCTGCTGATGTTGCCTGAGGCTGAAATCAACTTCAACCCGCCATGTTTGACTTTTGTTCTCTCTCTCCCTTTTTTTGTGTGCCAAAAATTAACACATGCAATGACAAACTTGCTGTGGGGTTTTGGTTTCTTTGTCAAAGTGTTTGCTGGTGTGTGCTCCTCTAGGCAGGTTTTTTTTTTTTTTTATACGATGTTGGGTTTATTTAAGCCTCTAGATGTCCACCTCTATCAAAAGAGATTATATCTTTTGTCTCTGAAAAATAAACAAAGAAAAAATAAGCAAAGTCAGTACCAATTTAAGATACTTGAGTCATTGTTTGACTATATTGTAAAGTTTAGAAAGTTTCCACATAAAACTGAATATTAGCTTTTCAAAGCCAGTTGACTACAGTTTTCTCCTTGTTGTTTGGTAAGAAGTCTTTTTCTATGCAGCAGTGATATGGAAACCATTTATCTCCCTAACACTAAACGCCAAAGAGTTCTGAGAAAATTACAATTTTTTTTAAACATTAAATGATTTTGTAACCTTATTAATAACTAACTATGATTTCCCCTCTAGGTGTGTTGTACTCTTTGTAAGGCTGAGCACTAACCTTTACTTTTGTTTCAAGAACAAGCATCCTTTATCTCCTTAATGCATCTAAAGGAAAACAGGCACATCATTTGTGTATGGAATTGAAAGGAAGTTATTCAATTGAAGAAGCAAATCAATTGTAGTATTAATGTAATTGTAGGGAAGAATAGGAGAAAAAATAGGTGGGCCTCATTAGAGCGACATATGCTGCTCTTTGTCCTTAGAGAGACAGCCAGTCTGTTTAGTGCCATTGTCTCACTTCCCGTTTCCTCTGTCTCTTCCTGTCAGGGGGTCGCGTGAAAACCTGGAAGAGAAGGTGGTTCATCCTGACGGACAACTGCCTCTATTACTTCGAATACACAACAGTAAGTCCTCCTCTGAGAGCACAAACTACGTATTGAGTTCAGGAATTGTATTTTGAATTTCATTTAAAAGCTTCCAGCTCACTACACTCACTTCTGTGGTAATGATGTTTGGTCTTTAAAGTAAGTAACTGAAATTTGGCAGGACACTTCTTCACATTTGAACTTTTTAACATTCTGATTAGGTGTGCAAGTTATCAATTTGTGAATTAATCTCAATTTTATATCTTTATATATCTTATAGAATAACTATTAATTGATAGGCTGCCATTTTCTTAAACACCTGAGTTTTCTCTCATATCAAGCAGATCTTTCCTTAGTAAGAAGGGACAATAAAAAAAATAGTACATTATTATATATTAACAATTTATTGTGAGAGCTTTAATAAACTCTGACATACTGCTAAGAGAGACATGCTGTTAGCAGAGCTTTTAAACGGTCGGCTCTGGTTGCTCTCAGAGGAATGTTAAAACTTGTCTCATGAAGTCCATTAGCACTCAAAAGAGTTCCCCATCTACTGTGCTAATTGCTAGCATTTCTTTTTCTATCATGTTAGAAGCATTATGCATGATACCATCCACTCGTCTTTAATCACATCCTCACCTTCCGAACACAGCAAAGAGGGTTACGCTGCTCCACCATGCAGCAAATTTAAATAGGCACTATTTAGGCAATCACTTAAGAAGTTTATCAAGTGTTTATATTTACAAGCAGAAGAGCATAAAGTTGATTCTGCATCCTTCTCACAATTAAACAGTGTAAATTATCCCGGATCAGACTTTTAATGTTTCTTCTTTTATCTCTCTTCTCTGGCATTAAATCACCATAAAATACAAGTAAGGTTCTTAGCAGATGACAGCCACACTACAACACATACCAAAAATCCTTTAAAGAGAAAGTTATCAGTTAACAGGATGAAACAAATTATAACAAACTATCTACCGACTTCTAATATAAAGTGGATTGTTTACATCTCTAATTTTGTCACATTGTAACCCCAAACTTCAACGTGTTTTATGTGACTGACCAACATCACTTAAGTGTATATATATATATATATATATATATATATATATATATATATATATATATATATATATATATATATATATATATATATATATATATATATATATATATATATATATATATATATATATATATATATATAAATAATAAAAAATAGTCAGTCATCTTTGAAAACATATTTTCAAGTCTAGTTACAGATTCTCCATTGTTTTTAAGTCTAAAGTTTAACAGGGCAATCATAGCATGAAATATGCTGTCATCTGAAACATTGCATTATATGTTCAGGGTCAGTCCTTGATTTGAAGGAGAAGCTCCACCCCAGTCTTCTGCCACCCTCAACGGATTTTATAGGATTGCCCTCCATCCATTCCCCCAATCAACTATGACCACCTTTCCTGCCCTTGCTTAAGAAAAGCAGCAATCTACCTTTAGGGTTTGCCATGGAGATCTGTGTTCAGGCTTGCATCACTGGACCTTGCATTTCTTCTTCTCACTGGACAGATATGCGGGGTGCACAAAGAATGGCTTACTTGTGGATCTTTGATACTTATCTAAAAGTACCGTGGGCATCTTACCTGAAAAGTTCAATGTCTGGCTTAAAATGATTGATTTATTACCAGGCTTCTTTAGAACTTAATGACATTTTTCTGAGGTATTCCACCTATATGATAAGGTTTGTTTGAATCAGGGAATTATCTAGTAGTGTGATGACTTCAGATGCCTGGTGTTGGACGCCTCTGTTCCCCCTCCTCCACACTTTTTTAGGAAATATAATTATTTTTTTCCCTTTGCTTTCCACCTTTAGATGAGGAATTATGCCCATATGTAAGGTTTAAATGTTGATAATTCTATTCTCTATGTTGCTATCTGCCTGATGTCAGCCCACTCTTTGTCTGTATGGGAGGATGTTTTATTAGCAGTTGTGTGTACTAACTGCTACATCAGCAGTGTCCCCTACATACCACGGTATTATCCTTCAGGACACTATGATTATATCCTGTCCTCTGTCTGACTGCTGGAAGTTCGCATTATCCACCTCGATATCTGAGCAGGAAGGACACGTGAAGCAGAGAACATGAGGCTGATTTGAGACCCAGATAATCATATCAAACTGGATTTCTTCCCTGTTTTTCATCTTAATGTCATTTTTACATTAAGAAATGACAGTAAGAATCTTTGTTTTTGATCTTTGATTATTAATTTTGATGAAATGTTCTATTCTCTACTCTTGTTTGGTTCACGTCCTCTCTCTTTTATTGACCTTCTATAGGACAAAGAGCCCCGTGGGATCATCCCACTTGAGAACCTTAGCATCAGGGAAGTTGAGGAACCCAGGAAACCTGTGAGTCCTATCTACCTCTTGGATAACAATTGTGGTTTCTGAAAAAAAATCCTTGGCAAAAGCTAATTATCAGCTTTTTTCTGTTGCAACAGAACTGTTTCGAGTTATATAACCCTAATCATAAGGGCCAGGTGATCAAAGCCTGTAAGACTGAGGCAGATGGACGTGTTGTCGAGGGCAACCATGTGGTCTACAGGATATCAGCGCCTACGCCTGAAGAGAAGGAGGAGTGGATAAAATCTATCAAGTGAGTTTCTTTCTGATATTGTTATAATCAACCTCAAAGATAATCATCTTTAAATGTTATTCTAGAAAATGTTGATTACTTCAGGGCAGGGGACTGTGCTTACAGGCTTCTTACACAAAATCTTCAAAGTTATCTGGTAAAAAATTACATTACACAATATAGGAATAAGCTCTATTTCAACATTTCTTTAATTTCACTTACCGGTATGTTAGTCATCTACAAGCTGCTGATAGTTTCAAGGTTGGACATTTTTTTTAGTATCTCCTGCAAATCTCTGATTTTGTTCCTTTTTCAGTTAGGCCGTATTACCCATTAATCCTGACTGATGAAAAAACTAATGAAGCTTATCCTGTTTACTGGATGTTTGATTTAACTCAGAATAGTTTGCCGTCTTTAAAGTGGACACAAACTGCAGGCAAAGAGATGCATGTAAAGTGCACTGAGAAAAGATGCATGGACAGTGCAGCCTTGTATTGCCTTTTTTCATTTTGTCACTCTTCTAACTTCAGTATGTTTTATGGGAAATTTATGTTATAGACTACAGAAACCAAGAGGTATATTTTTGTAAAGTAAAAAGAAAATTAGATCGAATAACCATTCTTTATGGCAAAGTAGCTCAGTTTCAGACAAATGATACATTTTTAAGATTCCCAGAAAATTCCTAATTTTACTGACTACGCCATTCTAACACATTTCTATGCTTTGATCTGAATAATCTGCTGTAACTTTGATTATTTGGTCGTTGTCCTGCTAGAAGGTGAACCCCGACCCCAATCTTAAGTCTTCTGCATCCTCTTAGAGCAGATTGTTTTCCATTTATCTCGCTCTATCTTCACATCTTAACACACAGGGATGATATTCAGTGTTACTTGTCCACAACCCTTAGAGTTTAAAATCAAAGCTAAGTATTAAACCTGACAGAGCACCTTTTTCGGTGTGTTCTTCCCTACATCTTGCATGCTAAACTGCGAAGGTGAGTTTTTATGTCCTTCTTTCATCAGTGGTTTTAGTTTTTGCAACTATTTGATGAAAGCCACCTGAGCAGTGGACTTCTGCAGCTCCTTCCGTGGAGTGAAGTCATACAGGTTGCTTTGTGCTGTAATACTCTGCAGTTCCTCATCCTCTTGTGCACAAACCATTAAAGATAACCTATCTGCATACTATGAAGTGATAGTGACTCTTTATGGCAGAGTGGGGTGGAACCCAGCAAAGCCATTCCAAACTAGGTTTGATGCTTTCGCAACCTCAAAGAGTTACAAGCAGCATCTTCACCAGAGGGGTCCAGAAGACTCTGGTCCTGGGGAGATGAAAGCGTTTTTATGGAAAGCGTTATAAAAAAATATCCGTTCTTAGGAAAAAATTATTGGATAAGAAACAAAGTGTCTGTTTGTTGTGGGTCACGAGTACACAGTTCCAGATTATAGTGAAACATCATTCATTCATTTCCTCAATTTTGATGTTCCATGAGATAAGTTAGCTTGTCAAAGACAGAAACGGGCAGTGGAAATGTCAGTAATCATGCTGCCCTTGCTTGTGCTTGATCACTCCACAGTAGAGTCATTGTTTCATTAGAAATGACAATTGGCTTTATGAAACAAGGGCACAGTCATGGTTTGCAGCATGTTTCTTGATCATGTGGCATTACAAAGGGAATCAGAGATAAGCACAGTGGGGGGTTTAGCCTCTTCTTGCTTTGTGCTGGTGCTAACAGGATTTAGCAGCCGTGAAACTGGGCTTCTCAGCTGAGCCCAACTGGCTTCCTGACTCACTCTCATTTGACGCTGCCTCTCCATCACTGCTCTTTACAGAGAAACAGCCAGTAATCTAGATCATAATTGCTTGCCCTAATTGAGGCCCAAAAACCTGCAGGGGAGCAAGAGGGAATGTGTGGGATTGTATGTTTTACTGCGTTCCTGGCAGAGTTCTGGAAGAGGGAACTAATAAAGAGGTTCTTCCAAATCGGAGTAAAAAAAAAAAAGCAACTCTGGATGGGAAAGGAGCTCATCTTCTGAAACCATGGAAACCTAACTAGGTCACTGCGCAAACTTTTTTTTTTTCTCGTTTTATGATCTGGTTGAGGCAGGGGTCTCCATAAATGTGTCTCATTTCCATATCAAAGATCTTTGAGACCCTCCTCTCATGTGGTGTTGTTTGTTTGATTACTGTCCTTTGATTGGCCTCTCCAGGGCAAGCATTAGCAGAGATCCCTTCTATGATATGCTGGCCACAAGGAAGAGACGCATCGCCAACAAGAAGTGAAGATAGACAATCAAATCAAGGTCCAAGGTGCTCCGTCGCCCTCTCCTTTGGTCTATGAAGAAATAAGTGGCATGCTGCCAAGCTGGTTCGTCTCAGAAACTCTCAGCAACTTGAAGACAAACCTTTGACGCGCTATAAGTCATAAAACGCTACTTGAAAGTGGAAAACTATTGAACCAGCCTGTTTGTGTCCCCTTCATGTCATTCACCCCAAACCTTACCTCCCCATTCATATTAAAATATATTTTTGTTTCTACTTAAAGCACAACTGCCATGTTTCAGGTGCACATGCATGCATGTGGGTTATTATTAATAACTATGTTTCTGTTCTGTATGTGTGTCCAACAGTGTGCATGTTCAGTTTGGTTTCTTACAGTGTGCGCCTCCAATGTGCTTTAAAAATGGTTTTTGGAAGCTAAAAACTAGAATTCAAGTTAGATCAAAAGAATAAACAGGGAAAGGAAACAGATGAACAACTCTAAGGGATGGCGATTGAGTCAGTTCAACGTAACCACAGCTGGACCGAGGGGTCATTTCATTCTGGTGCTTAGCTCTTCTCTCCAGGTGCCCTACTCAGAGTAACCTTAAAAAAAAAAAAAGGTGTCAAACGATCGCAGTCTAGATTCTTCTAGGCGGATTTCGTTCTTTTCTTTGGGAGCAGAGACTTAAAATGTGCACACTTTATATTTAACTAGTAATGGTGCTCTTAGATAAACCCTTAGACCTGAAGTTGTAATCCTTACCAACTACCAACTTCATAAAGAGAAGTTTTTTTTTTCCTTTTTAGCTTATTGCCTTTAAGACATACCATAGGATATTAGCAGCACTAAAAAGAGCTCGCAGGAAAGCAACTTATCTGTTTTTATGGAGATTTCATTTGAAATTGTCTTTGGCATCTCATTTTTCAAGTGTGGTTAGCATTAGCTTAGCATATTGCTAGGGAGGACTTAAACAGGCTTCTCCTTGTGTATTCCTTTGAGAATTTAGGTCCTTACCTTGACTAAGGTTTGCAAAACAGTGTCAACACTTTTGGACAATAGCCTGCTAAGCCAGTGACTAACTGGCCACTGCATACACTATGCTTGTTAGCCTTTCTGGTATCTGCTGAAAGTGTTACTCTCTCTCTCATTTTCTGGTAGGCCTATCCTCTCCAATACTGATAATAGCCACATGTGAGACTTCTTTAGTCAATTACAGTGTTTAAATCTAGAGATACAGCATGATCAGTAAGATTATAATGCATCTGAGGGAGAAAAATAACAAATTTTCCAATTTGGAATATTACAATTCAACTTTTTTTGGTGATATTTAATTAAAAGGTATCCCAAAATGTTTAAAAAGTTTAAAATGAAAAACCCCCTGTTAACTATTCCTGTATTTTACAACCTTTTAATGAGATGAAAAAGTGCCAGAGTTATGAGTTTTCTTTGGCTGCATAGAGCAGATATTTTTACTGTTTTTTTACTGGTACTTTACAGGTGCTGGTCATAAAATTAGAATATCATGAAAAAGTAGATTGATTTCAGTAATTCCATTTAAAAAGTGAAACTTGTATATTATATTCATACATTACATACAAACTCATATATTTCAGATGTTTATTTTGTTTGATTTTGATGATTACAAATGACAACAAATGAAAATCTCAAATTCATCATATCAGAAAATTAGAATATTACTGAAGACCAATAAAAACAAAGGATTTATAGAAATGTTGGCCAACTGAAAAGTATGAACATGAAAAGTATGAGCATGTACAGCACTCAGTATTTAGTTGGGCCTCCTTTGGCCTGTATTACTGCAGCAATGCGGCGTGGCATGGAGTCGATCAGTCTGTGGCACTGCTCAGGTGTTATGATAGCCCAGGTTGCTCTAATAGTGGCTTTTAGCTCTTCTGAATTGTTGGGTCTGGTGTATTGCATCTTCTTCTTCACAATACCCCATAGATTTTCTATGGGGTTAAGGTCAGGAGAGTTTGCTGGCCAATTAAGAACAGGGATACCATGGTCCTTCAACCAGGTACTGGTAGCTTTGGCACTGTGTGCAGGTGCCAAGTCCTGTTGGAAAATGAAATCTGCATCTCCAAAAAGTTGGTCAGCTGCAGGAAGCATGAAGTGCTCTAAAACTTCCTGGTATGTGGCTGCGTTGACCCTGGACCTCAGAAAACACAATGGACCAACACCAGCAGATGACATGGCACCCCAAACCATCACTGACTGTGGAAACTTTACACTGGACTTCAAGCAACGTGGATGAAGTGCCTCTCTTCTTTTCCTCCAGACTCTGGGACCTTGATTTCCAAAGGAAATGCAAAATTTACTTTCATCAGAGAACATGACTTTGGACCACTCACCAGCAGTCCAGTCCTGTTTCTCTTTAGCCCAGGCAAGACGCTTCTGACGCTGTCTGTGGTTCAAGAGTGGCTTGACACAAGGAATGCGACAGCAGAAACCCATGTCTTTCATACGTCTGTGTGTGGTGGTTCTTGAAGCACTCACTCCAGCTGCAGTCCACTCTTTGTGAATCTCCCCCACATTTTTGAATGGGTTTTGTTTCACAATCCTCTCCAGGGTGCGGTTATCTCTCTTGCTTGTACACTTTTTTCGACCACATCTTTTCCTTCCCTTCGCCTCTCTATTAATGTGCTTGGACACTGAGCTCTGTGAACAGCCAGCCTCTTTAGCGATGACCTTTTGTGTCTTGCCCTCCTTGTGCAAGGTGTCGATGGTCGTCTTTTGGACAACTGTCAAGTCAGCAGTCTTCCCCATGATTGTGTAGCCTATAGAACTAGACTGAAAGACCATTTAAAGGCTTTTGCAGGTGGTTTGAGTTAATTAGCTGATTAGAGTGTGGCACCAGGGGCCATCGATTTTGAACCTTTTCACAATATTCTAATTTTCTGATATGATGAATTTGAGATTTTCATTTGTTGTCATTTGTAATCATCAAAATTAAACAAAATAAACATCTGAAATATATGAGTTTGTATGTAATGTATGAATATAATATACAAGTTTCACTTTTTAAATGGAATTACTGAAATCAATCTACTTTTTCATGATATTCTAATTTTATGACCAGCACCTGTATATGATGGCAGTCCCAAATAACTGCCTCAAACTTACTTACCTCATGTTTTGAAGGCAAATGATTCTCAAAAATACCCGTCATAAGCTGATGTTAAGCTGAGATAATGAATGTAAAATATTTTAAAAGATCAGATTATTTTAAAGGGGAGTATCCTAGGGATTATGACTTCAGAGGCATTTTCAGAGCCTTTTCAGTCTAAAACAGGGGTTTTATTTCTTGCTCTGGAACAGCCCAGTTGGTGTCAGTCTGATTAAGCTTTTTCCAGTTTATTTTTATTTCTCTTCTGCATATGTTTGTGAAGTTTGATGTATTATTGTGATATTTTCTGCATTTGATCCTTGCTTGCTTTTCCACATAACCAGCTATATTCCCCCCCCATGTATTTATTTTCATCTTATGGAATTGTTTTATTATTACTCCTTGTAAATCTGATATAATGTATGCCTAAGTTATGTATGTGTATATATATTGTATAGGTTTCGGTGTCTTTGTTGTAGTATGCACACTCTGTGTAACATGTTTGCATCTTGCTAAAGTTTGGGGTCTTCTTTTCAAAAGCCTTAAACAATCTTTTGATAAAAAAAAGACACTTAAAGAAGTGATGAAGAGAATCTAGTTCAATGACTGTGACAAAGCTATTTAAAAGCCATGACTGATGAGAAAAAAAGATGGTTATATTTATGATATTGGGAAAGATTATAGTGAATATTATGCCTCATGTTATGGATGATAATATAACTGATTCAGATGTCAAAAATGCCAATAGTTTTGTATGTGATTGTACAATGAAATGCAGGCCTTGTGTAATAAGGGCATAATTTTATCTTCTGCAGCCATATGTGGAGTTGTGGTTGCATTAATTTTTTATATTCTCTGTAAGAACTGTTGGTCACGTTGTACATTACGTGTATCTACATAAAGTATACATAAAGCTTAAAGCAAACTCATGGGATATTTATTAATGACACTCATCCTGACCTACTTCTTTGCATAAACAAGGAGTTTTTTAATCATGTAATAGAAACCACTTTTCCATGAAAAGTTATTACCTTTCAGTTTTAGAGAAAAGGATGTGTAGCTTTATACAGCTGACAGAAAGCAAACAGGTGAGCAACAGGAAGCAGAGCAGGATGTTTAAAAAAAGGTGTTTCTGCAGAGAGGCTAGGCAGTAAATTAAGCAATGGCGCCCTCTATGGGCGGTTTGCTAAAAGTTAGAGAAGTGATATACAGAATTATTTAATTATACAAAATATAGAATTGCATCTGGATTGATTCACACACGTTTCAGCTTCACTTTTAGTAAAACAAAAAAAGAATTGTCAGTTTAACTACTGTTTGATGAATAACTAATCGAAAAAGAAATATATTTCCAGGTTAAGTTTTATCCATCCATCCATCCATCCATCCATCCATCCATCCATGATAACCCAAATACAAAAATCTAAACTAAATGAGCTTTGCTGCCACAGAGACTAATTTGTAAATAAAAGTTGTAAAAGCAGCAGCTCATAGCATTGAGATCAAATGCCACTGCTTACAGCGTTAATTACACCTGCAGATTTACCAGAATATAAAGACTGGGTTTATACCTGGTTGTTATCAAGGTGATTTACTATAAATATACAGTCATCTTTTAATATTCAACCGAATCTGTAGTTGTTATCTAATGTATTTTGATGCTATCAGGCATTCTCATAAGTTATATAACAAGCATATACAAATCTGTCTTATTGAACAGAATATTTTTCATAGAAACATTTTCTAGACTCCAACAAACAATTAAGATTTTTTTACAACCTATTACCTTACTAGATTCATGTTGTTTTAAATTGCTGATACTTGATAATAGCAATAGCATCACAAAAAATCTCTGATAATATAACAGGTTTGTAGCATCTTTCTGATAGAGAATGTAAAACACCACATTTATTAAAATAAAAAAAATAATGTAAATTACAGAAAAAGGGGTGATCATCTTAACAGAGACATTAGAGACTAGATCACATTTTACATTGTATTTGGACTTTATTGTCTTATGGAGTGATTATGAAGATCGTAAAAATGCATTTATCCCTCCAGGTTTGAAATTATTTTCCTTATGGGGAAAAATTCATACCGCTAATGTATTCTGCATCCTTTGGATACTAAAGCATAGTGATTGTTTTTACACATTTATTAATCCAGCTAATGACCTGAACGATAACATTCAAAAATACATTTTTTTTTTAATTTTTTTTTTTTACATTTTGTAATCCCTAACATCATAAAATCATACAAGTATTGTTAGTGAAAGATCAACAGAAATACATTCAAACAGTATAAATGGGGACTATCCATCCTAATTTCTTTTTAACGCTTTGTCTCTTCTTCATGGCATATCCTTAAAGCACCAGGAATCAGACCAAGTCCAAAGGTGAGGCTTACAGGTCTAATGAGGACAAAGACTGAACCAGGGTCACTAATCCAGGGTTAGTTCTGGGGTACATTCTTGCATATCTTGGCTTTTCTGTTCCAGAGATCTAGGAAGCTTTACTCAGCTCTGCTACTTAGCAGTGTTGTTTCACAGAGTAATTTTTAGCTTTATCTCTGCTTAGGGTAATGGTTTCCTAGTTTTACTCTGGATTGCAACTAACCCTGTTTTGTGAGATGGCACTTGGGGAACACAGCTAATCCAGGCATGTTTCTCTGCTAAATCCATCCTTACATGTAGAGGAATCTTTTCAGTTATTCTTTTTTTGTAGATATGTTACATTAAACTGAAAATAGGGGATGTGTTTTGTCTTTAACTGTGAAAGGCAGGCTTATTTGTATAGCACATTTCACTAACAGAACAATGAAAGTGTTGTACATCAAAAAAACAACAGAAAAATAAAACAGACAGAGGAAAGTGGCATGATGGGGCTGGTAAAGACGAGTTGGGCTTAGAGCCCAGCTAGTTGTTCTATAGACATTTTCACACATTGATATATGCAGCTTTTGCAGTTGCCTTGGCTTTTGGCTGTTTTTCTGAACAATGCCCATTTGTTATTGGTTCAGATTTATGGCATACTGTCCCCTCCATTGGATTTTTAAAATCTGCGATTTTTAGAAAAAGTTTTCTACCCTTGGAGGTCTATGTGGTTACTTCTGAGATTAAATTGTTTGCAATTGGACATGTAGTGATATATATATATATATATATATATATATATATAAGAGGGATTAAAAAAAAGTCACTTCCCAAATCATATTATTGAAATATCTTGAAAACCAGGCATTATTTGTTTAGCAGGTTTTAACCATGCACTGATCTGTGTTGATCTTTCACACCTAATCCTACTGAAATCCACCGAAGAGTGTAGTTCTACGAACATTAATGAGGAATATGATGCATTTTATGAGACCTTTACAAGGCACAGTATGAAGATTGAAAGGTATTTGATGGTCTACATATAGATACAAATTTATAAATAATTTCCAGCATACTATTTTGACCCAAAGTCTAAACGTAGTTCACTTAGTCTTTCAACTGTAAGTAGTTTAACAAAATAGAAAAAGAAAACTAAGAAGTAACTTTAAGAAAAAAAATCTATTTGGTTTGTCTTGTTACCAGAAATTAAACTCTTTGTTGACTCAGCAATTTGACTCTAGGAGATTTTATGGTGGCCTTCAATAGGCCTCTGGAGACTTAGCAGGGCGAGGATGACACCTGCTCATAGTCAGGACATTTGAGGAGAGCAGGGTAGTTGATGCTCATTTGAAATGAAGCATCGCTCGAGATATCTGAGGGGCTCCGTCCACGTGACCAGGACTCAGGGTGGAGGAACTGACCAGAGTGGTCAGAGCAGTTACTGTGCCTGGGTCGGTAGAAATTTGGATGGCGAGCCTGATAGATCTCCTCTGCTGTGTAGCGCTTCATAAACAGGTAGACTGACATGACTCCTGCACTCTGCAGTAGAAAAAAAAACAATTATTAGAAAACACTAGTTTAAAGATCTGTTGTGGGTCAAACTGAAAAATCGATTTACGAAATGTAATTCTATTCAATTCTTGGTTTTAACTTGAAAATGCTTTTACTGACTAAGGTTTATCAGGTCTAATACAGAACTGCAGCTCTTCCTTTTCACAACTAGATGTCAGTAAAGTCACCTCACTGATCACAGCTGATTCTATATATACTTTTTAGTAGAGATGATCTGTAGTGGTGGTAAGATGGAGAAATAATTTCTAGAGGATTGTTGGGTTATCTGTAGGGGGTGCTGCAAGGAATAAATGATGCACATTTAAAAGCAATGCAATGTGATGGGAAATAGAGATTAAAAATCACTTTGATTTAATGATCCAGTTCATATTAATCTGCATTTTGAATAAATAAATGAGCTGCAGCTTCTTTTAACCATTACCAATTAAATTAAATAACTGATGGTCCCAAAACAACAAAAAAATATATTTAAGGAAATCATTCACATTAAATGAACTTGATAGTGAACAAATAACTAAATCCCAATGTCAATATTTCAGTTAGATAACAGTTCAAAACTCCCTTAATCCAATGTGGATATAATTTATTAAATTATGGTTTCAATATGCTTAAAACAAGGTATTCACTTAGTATTTGTCTGCAGGTAAATAGCTTTTAGAGGCATCCATAGGTTATGGTCTATTCAAAAACAGTTTCAGTAGTTTGAGCTAATGGACAGTAGTGGAGAGATATTAAATATTTATTTAGAAATAGAGAAAAAGCTTTGTGACTTTAAAATAAGACCATATGAATTATATGTTTGATTTGTGCATTTACAAGTTTGTTTTTTATTCAAATCTTAATTTAAAATGGAGACATTAAGAATATTAATAGAAAAATATTGAAGATGGAGTGATACAATATTTAATATATACATCACAGTTTTATTTGAGTATTTATACATAGAGTTCAATATTTCTGCAAGTGTGTAAGCACTGAAATGATTTCTATTGAGACTGAAACTAAAATGCCATAAATTCAAAAGATTTTAAGGGTGATTTTTGTACCTCAGTGAGCAGGAAAGAGAGGGCAGCGAAGGCGAAAGACCAGCCATACTTATAGGAGAAAAAGGCCTCACTGCTCTTTGTTCTGTTGAGCATCTCATCGTTTATACTGGAGATGTACAGTACAAGACCCACCACCAGAGCCAGCCCTAAAATAAAGAGAATTTTTTTTTATAAACATGTTCAAAAATTAAGTGAATTATCTCAGAACTTTATAAAAAAAAAAAAAAAAACATCATAAGATCTGTTCACCAGAAAGAATGAAGAAGATTCCTGAGACAAACGCCAGGATGGTGCGGTGAGGACGGACGTGTCCAATGTTGTTTAGAACGAAACCGATGAACATAAAGAGGAGGCTGACTAAAGGAAAAGGAGTCGCTGAGCGGATCATCTCTGAGAAGTGGGAGATATATTTGAAGAAAAAAAGTTGTAGTTATTTTAAAGAATTTTATTTTAAAAGAAAATGAGGATAATGAAAAAGGAACAGCACCTGTCTTTGAATCTTTAAAAACATCCTGGACATTTTTGAAATAAGCTCATATGAAAATACATTTATATTAGGATTTTTGACAAACTAATAAAGATCCCTTCTAATTAACTTTAGGAAAGGCCTATTACACATCTTTTAGTTTAAAGATTTTGTATTCGCAAGCATATAGTCTAAGAGGATTGTGGTTGTATTTTGAGTTATGTCTCAAATTAATATCCTGACAAAAATCAAAAAGCAAGAATATTTTTACTACGAAAGGCAATAAATACACTATCCAGACTTTCTTTCTGTTAAAATGAAGTTTATGGGAGGATGATTTCGTATACAACAACAATTTCAAAATAATTATTTTTATTTGATCCGAGATCCTAAGATATGGGGATATGGGGATGGTTTTAATCACATAGAATGTGTGTATGAATGAATAGATTTTACAGAGATTGTCCAAAGAGGATTGGTCAAAGGTCTGTCTTAGTGCATGCCTCGTCCGTAAGAAATATTAGAGGAGAACACTAAGTAATGCTTTATCAAGTGGGTTGTGGTCAGTATTAACAGCAGACAGAGGAATTGACAAGGGATTTTTTTTTTTCTCTTTTAGAATAAAGACACTCAGGCTGTGTTTTTAGATATTTGTCAGTCTGCTGCAACACAGATGAAATATTTGCAATGGATTTTAATACAACTTTGCAAGTGGTGGGGAAAAAAAATTCAATTTACATTTCTCTAACACCTTTGTGAAATTCTTAAATATACATTCTTTTGTTCCCAGGAGACTGTTTTTAGCTTCTCCAATTCCATTAAGTTGGGATCCACTTGTCTCCCTTCCAAGAAAATACCCATTACTTGACTAAGACTTTTATGATCATTGTCTCAATTAATCCAAAGGGGAGATCTTGAAACCTGCGAGGCATCAAATTGCTCATTAATCTGATTTTAGTCTGCTTGATGACACATCAAACACTATGGAGATATTTTATTCTTTGGTTCAACTAGTTTTACGACTACAATTGTGTCCCGACAGAAAAAAGTCAGAGGATGTTTTTTTCCCTTTTTAACCCATACTGAAAATATCAGCAAAGCTAATGCCATGGCAATGTAAATCTTAAATTTGACCCCAGTTTCACTGAAGGACTTTTGCTGTTGTCTGCATGGAGGTAATAAGTATTCTAGAGAGGAAGCGGCAGAAACACAAGGTTTCTTATGAGTCATCTGTCTGGATGGTTTCAGATGAGGTATATCTGAATGGAGAAGCATTAGAAAACAACAGGCTTTCACCCTAGAATAATACTCCAGCTGGTTACACGAGTGCCCTGAACAGCACCACTGGGATGCATTTGCCCTACGCTTTGATTTCCTTCTTACTCACTGAGCACATTTCCTGTGGACTCTGACGTCAGCTGGAGGCTCGTAGGCATCATGTACTCAATGGTGAAGCAGCGGCCCAACTCCTCACCTGATAGAGAAGATGGAAGAAAAGGCAGAAGATTTAGATTTAATACAGAAAAAAATACGAAATACTGCAGAAAATGATTGGTTATATATATATATATATATATATATATATATATATATATATATATATATATATATATATTCAATGTAGTTTGAAAAAAGTATTTATATTCTATTGATTTTGCCTGGCAGAAAAGAAGCACTGAGGCGATAAAGTTTTACCTAAGTTTGTTTTCTCTAACCTTTTCATTTATCCAAACAGTTTCATAAATGTGCATTAATCCAAAATAATATTTGGCTAAATGTCCATTATAATGTTGCAGAGAAACTGTTTCTTTCTTTAAGTAGAAAAAAAAGGTATGCCAGATCTGGTTTGAAAGGTTTTGGCGGAGTTGATTTATTTTTGAAAATTTTGGTTTGGATCTGGTACCCTGAGAAGAGAACATATGATGTATCTCAGTCAGTGCAATGAAGTCAGCCTCAGGTATCCCTGAAACAGAACTCAGATGACTCCCAGTTATTGTGAATGTTGATTTTAAGACCACCAAAGCTGCAGTGGCTTGTCAACGCATCAGTAACAACAGTTATAACAAGATGAACATCTTTGAAAGCCAGAGTGTGAAATCCATTTTTAGAGACCCTGAATAGGAGATGGCTAATTGTGCAAATTCAATTTTTGATTAAAATAATCACAAATCTGTGCATCCCTCATTGTAGCATACAAATTTTACTAACCAGCCAGAAAGCAAACTCTCCAGAGTCCTGAGTGCAGTGAAGTCTTGATGTCAGCTGTCTGGTTCAGAGGCATGATGACACCCTCCTCCAGGTAGAGCCAGTAATCGGTGCTCACCGCCACCCCCAGCAACCCCAGGCCGCTGATTGCAAAGACACTGCTGAGCAAAGTCAAAGCCTTCCTGCTGCATGCACTCATGACTTCTGGAAGCTTGTCGTTAAAATGGAAAACTGGGTCCTGGAGGACTATGATGGCAGGAGGGAAGAAAAAAAAGCTTTACTGATCAGGTACTAAAGATAGATATATATATATGGAAAATCTTTGATCTTTTTCCATGAATAAAGGTTGGATATCCATCAGGGGAAATCTAAAATTAAAACTAAACCGATTTAATATTGGTCAAATAATCATGATAATAATAAAATGTTTTAAAAGAGCCATACATATAATTTAAGGTTAGTGTAAAAATGAAATCTGAACAAATCAACAGCAATTAAATCAGATAGTAAAATCAAATATGTTGTATGAGGCAATGAAGTTACAGGGATTAAGCTGTCCAGAATAGTTGGGTTGATTTTAACAGGAATAGCTTCTCAGTCCTAATATATATAACTAGTCATGGTAAATTGTGACCTCTAATTTTTCATATTTTTTTAAGTATTTAAAATAAATCAAATAATGAAAATAGCGGATAAAAGCAACATTTTGTCATGATCTTGGCACTGATGACTGGCTAACTCTGCCCGGTTGCTCATTACCTCTCATCTGATCTGCCAGTGGCGAGTGTTTTTAGCTTTCCTTTGTGGTTCTGATTACCTGATCCTGACCTGTTCTGCCTCTCAACTACTAAGCCTGCCTGTTCTTATTCTGATCTCTTTGTCTGACCTGACTTCGGACTCCTGGACCTCTGAGCCTGCCCATTCCTGTTCTCCTTGCCCGACCTTGCTTAGGACTCCTGGATCTCTGAGCATGCTCTTTCTTTCTTTTGTTCTGATTTGTTTGCCTGACCTGGCTTCTGACTCCTGCATGTTCTCAGGGGCTGGAGCATCTGGAGACACTCTGGGCGGTACCTGCTGCATCTCGATGGTGGCCCACCGGCTGGATCCTACCTGGTTCTCTTGCTATGGAATGAACTTATAAACCAGGTTGGGGACTCATTTTCATAATCTTCCTCTGTTAGAATTAAATGGTCACTAACCTGTGTTTTCCTCTCTCCAGAGTTTCCTGCCTCAGACGGCCTAGCAGCTGCTACTGCAGATCTGCAGCCCGTTTATCTTAATAAATGCTTTTTGAGTTATCCCACTGTCTATTTTGCCTCAATACTGGGTCCTTCTGTTCTGAATATTGACACATTTGTTTAAGAGTGTAAGGTGTTTATTTGATCAGGTAGGTAAATTGAACTTCTTTAGTTCTATTACAACTGAAAACTTGATTTTATTAACTTTATCAGAGAGAGACCAGCACAAAGCAACAAAGAGCTGTTCTCTGAAGACTTCAGAGGTCTGTTTAGGACCAATGAAAGAAGCAGGAATCCCAGGGATAAGGTTTAGGGGAAGTTTAAAGCAGGATTCGGTTTAGTACGCTATGTCATCTCACGGAGCTCTAATAAGGAAACAGCATAGCACCAGCAGACACATATCAATACTATATGACACCTAATGTTATAGGCAAGGAAAGCAGAGTTCTAATCAGTGAAGAAGAAGAAAGTAACTCTGCATGAGTTCAAAATATCAATTTCTCAAGCAGGACAGTTTGTCAACACAGCAACTGTGAACTGTGACAGTAAAATCCCTAAAAAAAAAAAAAATAATAAAGAAAACGTTTAAGGTTTTACAGATTTTCTGGAAAAAAAAAAGAAGATCAAAATCAGCAGGCTCTTCATACAGCCACCTCTATGAAGTTGGACTCGCAATCAGGTCTTAGATGTTTTTCTTCTTTGTTCAGCTTTGTGAGCTGAACTGAAGAACAAAAATGAAAAATGTGGGAGGACTGTGGGAGTGACAGATGACAGACGATTGACCTAAAGATGAAAAGCTCTGTGAGCAACAAGTCTTTGTAGTTACCAATCAGACCTTTTACACCATATTTAACTATCAGCTCATTAAAAAGAGGCAAATATATACCAATTACAGTCTTTAGTGTTTTCAGCTCATGTGCAAGAGACAAACCTTTACCATAACTGGTCTGTTTTTAACATTCTTTTCATGTCCTATCTAACTGACGTCTTACATATTAAAATGGAAGCCATATTTGAGGGTCTTGAGCCTTCAAAACAGAAGACGAAATACCGTGAATACAAATGCTTACAATATTTATTATCCAGAACCAGTTTTTGACATTTTCAGTCAGGAGAAAAAGCTAGTTTCACACAGGCATAATCAGTCTGCAGATCTGAATGAGGAATCACATAGAAGGATGTCACCTGAAGGTGAGGATTTAGATCATATATAAACCTGGGACAATTTACTTCAGTAAAGAGTATTGGGGGGAATAAAAATGTCACAGATATTTATTAGTTTGGTAGGATGCAGCACACATATAGATGCAGGATCATAAAACATATTTTTCTATCCTTAAGTGCATCTATTTCAGAGTCTTAAGACATTCATTAATCAGCTCCTATTATTCTTAAGGGTTCATAGGGTATTTTTGTAATGAAGAATACCCTTAGTTAAAAACGTTGAAGATTTAATGATTTAAGCCTGCTTTATAGATCTTAACCAATTATTTATATAATTTGACTTTCCGCCTTACTCTAACATGCAGGTTGTTGATGAGGGATGCAGGTTGACCTGCATCCCTCATCAACAGCCCTAAAACATCTTAGGCTTCCCTTCTGTCAGTACTAAAGTAAAAGAGGTGTATGTAATTATGGTCTTTCGGTATCTAAAGGAGAATAAATCTACAGAAACTAATGGTGTCTCTCCTCTTCACCTGAAAACCTGTGCTGACCAACTCACACTATCTTCACCCATATCTTTGACAGATATGCAAAGCTGTGTGAGTTTCCTTCTTGTTATAAATGCTCCACTATCCTTACAGGGAAACTTGCTGCCACAAGTTTTAGTGACATCTGGTCTATTGCTCAGATGCCTTTGGTTGCTAAATTATTGAAGTATTTGAACTATATCAAAAGTTAATACATTTAATCTATGTTCCTTTAGACTAGCTTGAAATACTTATGTGACAATCCAGAGCACACATCATAAAGCTATATTTGCATTGTATACAAAAGAGGCTACTGTTTTACAGGTCTTAACTAAGTCTTAAATCTTCATCTTCAAGCCTTAGTCAAGTCTCAATAAAGACAAGTAGCTTTCTAGTCAAGTCCCAGGTATCAAACTATAAATTTCAAGTTTTTTGAGTGTTTTTTTTTCTAATAAATGTTGAATTATAAGTTTTATGTTAATAATTAAGGGTATGTTCTTTTTTTAATTTGCATTTATCTCAACAGTTGTACCAATGCAACCCAACAATTGTGTGAAAGGTTTTCTCTATGCAACCTCAAACATCAAACTGGTGAGTTGTTCCACTTGCGTCTACGATTCTTTTTTGCATCTTTTAAATGTTGTTTTAGCTTTTGGTTTGATATATTGTAAATTATGTGTCCAAACGATGCTTATCTTAGGAACATTTCTGTTTTCAATTGATTTTGGTTGGGTGTGTTGCAGCGCATTCACATATAAAGAAAGTAGAAAGATAGAGAAATAGTCTGCGTTTATTAATAAGGGATGACTGAAGTCTTTTCAGGTAAACAAGTTCCAGTCCAATTCCAGTCCCATATCATGGATGTAAAAGTCTTAAAATTAAAGTCTCAGGAACTGTTATTTAGTACTAATTACATGTTTATGTCATTGGAGGAAACTCCTGGAAAAAGTCTTTCCTACCATCACAAACATTAAGATAAGCTACATTGATGTATATGAATTAGTATTGATTTGCTGCGTTCAGATTGGATTCAGATCAAATCATTTTACCACAAGCATTTCATCAGGATCTGTAACAACCAAATAGTGAATGTGTGGAAAAGCTCCTCTTTCCAACAGCTATGCATGGTGGGGGGTGTGTAATGCTGTGGGCCTGTTTCCCTTCCCTATAGGTATGAGTGTTTGAAATGTCAAGAAATCTACATAAAATAAGGGGAACTTTTAGTTTTCCCTAAAAACTTACATTTATTTATATTTTTTATTCCATTTTAAGTGAGGTCCATCCTACATGCCAGAAGTAATCAAACTAAGTTTCTGATCATTTGTCAAGATACAGGGATTATTTACCCTAATGTCCTTAAATTAAAGGCTTAACCTTTTCAGAGTCAGATTATAATAACAGATTGTTTGTGTAATAAGATTTCTTTTAATCTTAAAGGGGTTTTGACATATTTAACGGCAATGTCAGTCACTGTGTAAGGCACAGAATAAAACAGTAACCTTTGCAGATGTATCTGAATGAATTATGCCAGAGATCATAATATTTAATCTGTTCTTTAGAGAATTAAAACCTAGTTTCATGATTTTATGTTGATATCTCCATGATTCAGTGACAACATCATTAATTCATTTGTGTTACATCAACTTAATAGAATAGACATTTAGGTGCATGATATTCAACTTTTTTCCTACTGTATAAATGTATTTCTCTGGATGGAAATTTTTAGCTGTATGTCTAATAGAGTTGCTTGAGATTCATGCTACTGAGAATGTGCTGACCAGCAAGAAAAAATCAGGTACCTTAAGCAAAATATCTCATGGATTCAAGGTGAAAACATTATGATTCTGAATATGGCCAAAAGCATGCCACAAACACTTGTTTTAATGATTATGTCCATCCAGTTTTCTCCTCGCTGTTAGTTATGTGTCCAGCATAAATATCATGTGTCTCAAAGTTCCTAAAAAAAGCCATGGTGAAAGAATAACGAGGTAAACTTACCAGGTATCAATAAAATCCTTTAGAGAAAAGTAAGGAGACAGAGACGATGAATCAGCGTGTCGATGCTACAGTCAAACAGGAGAAGGCGGGCGGCAGAGGGAATGTTGCCTGGTCCTGCTCTGCTGCCTGATGTCTGTTGTTCATTGTTAAAATGCTTACAGAGGGAGAGAGAGAGTAGCAGAGCAGCTGTAGCTTCAAGGGGTTCACAGTTTATGAAAATTGAGAGAGCAGTGGTTACATTTGCTTAAGGTTACAGTGTCTTGATTACAGTTAAATTTAATCAGTAAAATGTCTTAATTATGCAGAAAAGAATAAAAGACTCACGGCAAATCCAGCACCAAGGTCAGCTCCAATGATCCTTTGAACTGATGTCGCACCATAATGATGGACTTTAACCCGACTCATAGAATATCTTGAAATATTGGCCCATATTTTCAAAACAATCATTAGATCAAACAGGGTTTTTATTACTTTTGGACCTGACTTGTAGCTTTTAAAATGGTTATTTCTGACCAACTGTTTGACGCACTTATCAACATTGAAAGAAGTCTTTAGCAAAGAAAAGTAAAATAACATACAATGCATACCAAAATAACTCAATTTTCCTTTAAGTCCTTATGGGCTTTGAATTAATATTATGGAAGGAAACCCATTTATTTAGATTTAAATGTGCAGTGACTGGCACAAATTGACCAATAATGGACACATAAACAAGATACAGTAATAAGTATAAACCAAAAATAACATTAGGAAAATTATGTATTTAAAATCTTTAAATCTGATTTATATTTTCTGTTTTAAAAGTATATTTCTAAATACAAATTTTGATCATACCAATTTAAAATAAAGCATTATTCTGTTTGAAAACACGCTCAGATTGTCAAATCTGCAAACACTGATCATTTCTGGGATGATGAAAAATGTACTTAAACAAACAGAATATCTGTAGGCAAAGAATGGACCTGATCACCCATTTCAAACCACCTTGCCATCTGCCAAAAAGTTATGTTGATATTCCTAAGAAATAAATAATGACCACATTATCGCAAATTTCCTGAACACATTTAAAATTCTCTTGAGAAAAGGGAGAAAGGACTTGGTATCAATTTGAAAAGAAAGTAATTGTGTATCACTTGAACACATTTGAACCAATTACTGTGCGCCACACACAAAAACAAAAAAAAAATTCATAACTGAATTCACATTATTTTATTGCTTAAAGCTCCGCAACATACAGTAAATGCTCCTCAAAAAGCCGCCCACTTCCAAAGCAAAGCAATATTGAGTGGTAAATGTGGAAATCAGGGGATCTCCTGCTGGTCCCTCAATGGACAGGAAGAAGAGCCAAATATGCTTGACTGTTTATGAGCCTATAAATTGTTTTTATAAAGGTTTTTGATTGTGCATCCTATATCTATATCCAATAGCTATGCATATATCTATTCAGCTGTGTGCAGAATATTGGTGGTGGGATCAGTGGGTTGAAGGTTTGGATAGTTATAAAGCCAAAGGATTGTGTTTCCTACCTGTTGCTGTCCGACCAGATTAGAGGAAAAAAATATATAGTATTTAGTATTTCACTAAGTTCTGGAACTGCTGTGGTCTTAGGTAAAATTAAGGTGAATTAAACTGTCTTAATATTCATTTTTATTAATTTAACTTTGATTACCTGTGGCATGTAGGATGGATCTCACATAAAATTGCATAAAAAATATAAATAAATTTAAGTTTTTAGGGAAAAGTTTTTATAAGTGAACCAGTTCTAGCTTGGATTTGTAGAGCCAGTTAATGCATGCAAAAGTTTTGTTTTTTTGCCTGCCTGTTTTTGAGAGGTTTATTGTATTGATTTAAAGCTACAATGTGTAATTTTCAGCGACATCTAACGTCCAGACTGCAGACCGCAGCAACATGAACATCCCCCCCCCCCCCCCACCGCTTCTCCCCCCCAACAGTACGGCGAGCGTTACGGGGCAAAATGTCTTCCACGACGTCCGCATCACCTACCTTCTCAAGTGATGAGGTTTATATACATAGATCATTTTACAGATAGTATTTCATTAGTCTGTGTAGGGTATAGATTTCATGTAGACTTAAGATAATAAATATACTTACTTTCGAGCGTAATGGGCGATCTTGCAATCGCTAGTTTGTTGGCTCTGCGCTGCCGTAGCGCAAAGATGTCTGCCTCCATGGCTGCGAGACCCGCTCCTATGTAATTATTAATAACGAATTCTAAGGCAACGCAAATATTAAGGTTAAGAGGCTGAGCTCGTAGATGATAAATAACATAGTTATGTATAATATATTACATTTCTGACTGTATATCCCTGTAATTATTACACACTGTAGCTTTAAATCGGAGAACAGAAATGTAGTATTTGAAAGGATGTTTCTAAATTAAACCCATGAAATCAATTATACAACACAATGAAAACAACCAACAGAACATTGTGCTATATATATATTTATATATATATAAGTATTTATATATAATTCATACTTTATTTGTACACAGTATCCGCCATACCACAAAAAACAGAGGAACAGGAAGATTCAGTTTACAAAGCAAGAACATTGAGGAAAACGTATAAACTGCTCTGGAACTATAACTGTGTCTTTAGCTTCATAAAAATTATTCAAAAATTACATTTTTTAAATCTTCCATCCAACATACTTTCTCAATATGAGATGTAAACATTCAGATTTGTTTAACAGATATATTTTTGGTCCAGGTATAAACAGTGCATTGAAACAGTATTCATACCCGTTGAACCTCAAACTCCAATTTATTAGGATTAGTTTTCATACTATAGGTCAGGATTTTTCGATTCCAGTCCACAAAGGGATGCAATCCCACAACTGTTAGTTAGGTCCTTGCTCCAACCTAGCAAAAACAATTATTGACCCATTTATTTGCTTCAGATGTGTTAGAGCCAGGGCACATCTGAAAGCAATAAGACAGTCAGGGACTGTAGCTCAATACTACTGACATATACCAACATTTCAAAGTGTATATTGGTGAATTAAAAAAGTAAAAATACAAACATGTTTAATCTTTTCACTAAATAAAACTAAAAAGTTCCAAATGCTTTTTATTCTGATACCCCTTAATAAAATCCATTGTTACTAACTGCCTTAAATATTCATCCAATTAGTTAAGAAAGTGTGTGACTTAAGCTTAGTGTAAATAAAGTACAGTAGCTCTCGGAGGATCCCAGTTAAGGAGAAGTTTATATAGAGGTTAGACAACACTATTTAATCAACCATCCATTGGACTGGAGGACCTGTAGATTTAATAAGGAGTCAATAAAGGAGTGACAAGAAGTAAACTGTTGAAAGAAAGCCTTTGGAAGTCTGATTAAAAATTTACCTCAACATGGCAGTCAGCAGACATGAAGGATCAATATTTAGATAAGACAAACACTGATAAAAGTAAACAGTTAAATACTGGGGTGACGGCATCATAATGAGAGGATGGGTTTCTTTGGCAGAGACTGGAAAGTTCGTCAAAGTTAATGTGAAGATAAATAAAGTTAAAACAAAAAGAAACTAGAAATGAAGCTGTTAGCACCTGCAAAACACTTAAAGGTATAGAGGAGGATTTTCATTAATTTTTGAAAAGACCCACCCTCTCCACTCCACTCCTGAGAGGGAACGTCTATTAGAGAGGGTGCACAAGCCCATTTCTCCTTGTGCACACTCACAATCAAACATTTATAAGAGTCATAATCTTGAGATTAATGGTATAGTGGAGGGTTTTCGCAATTTTTTTAAAAATACCCACCCTCTCCGTTTAAAAAAAAGCACATGCACAACCCTGTATCCTCTCCAGAGAGGGAACCCCTATTAAATGTGTGTGAGAGCGTGCACAAGCCCATTTCTTCTCGTGCACACTCTGTTTAAAGGTTGCTGTTTGCATTGCTCATACAAGCTTACTTTCCAAAGAAAGATTTGTAATTTTTCCACTTGTCAGATTCAACACTGGCTAGTGAAAATGGGGATGAGCATGTATGATGGCCTTACATAAACATATCACCAGAATGATTGACAATTAGGAGGACCACTTATTTTGATGATCCACCCGGAAAAAGAACATCCTCCACTATACCTTTAAGATCGCTGCAAAGTTGACCAATAGGAGAATTTCTAATTTACATATCCCCAGATCTACAATAGTTGAGTTTGAATAGGAACATACACATGTGTTAGTATGGTCTAGCCAAAGTCATGAGTTAAGATGGGTAAAATTAGTACTGAACCATTTTTTTTCAATAGCACCTTCAGAAATATGTTTACTTTAAAAAATGCTGATGTCCTCTATACTAATTTACCTCCTACAAATTCAATGCAAAGTCCTTGGTATGACAGACTAATGAGGGCTAATGTTCACAAATGTGTTTTATCTAGTCTGACTGAGTGGGTAAAGCTGTTACAGGGAATATTTACTACAAGAACAAAAAATATGTATAACATTTGGTCCCTCTCTAAGAGTAAAAATTTATCCTTTGCTGTTTTTAAGATTAAAATGTCCTCAATTAAGAGTTAGATTAATTAGAAGTCGCACATAAGATAAAACTTTCACTCATGCTTTAAGTTATATAATGTTTGGCCTGGAAATTTGCTCCCACTCATACACAGAGTATCACTTTTTCAACTCAAAGTTGATCCAAAACAGCAGTTTTGACAGATAATGCTTATAAACTCTTGACAAATTACCTAACCATTTTTTCTGTGTTGACATACCCCAAAAAGATGTGTCACTACATCAGTTCCCCTCTGCTCTACAAATATGGACCAGTTTGTGTTCCACTGTCACATAAAATACTAAAGAAGACATTTAAATTTGACAAAAAATGTTCAACGGGCATGAATAAAGTCACTGTAACAAAATCAGGAGGCTTTGTTTAATTTCAGTATTTTGTAAGAATCTATAAATTAGCTTTTTGAAAGATTTTCTATTGAAAGATAATTAACATCTCGCTGTAGCAAAAAAGACATAAATGTGTATTTGGCACCAGAGAATACAAATAGCTTAAGGGATTCTCATATCTTATTGATTATATCTGAGCTATTTAGCCAAACAGGTTAGATCACAAGACAGAGAAAGAGGAGAGAAAAAAATCAGAAAGAAAATACACATTGTTGGCTGTTTTTTTCATCCTGCACAACTCCACCATCTCTTTATCATGCAGGGGCCTTTTTTCATGCTGGGATCAGGCCTCGCCTCATGCATGCAAACGATATATATACAGACAACACATTTCAAACACAGGGTGCTTAGGACTCAGTTTGGAATTCGTTTTTTTTCTACAGAGGGAGTCGACCCTGTCAGGACCAAGGCAAGAGGGGCATTGGATAATCGCTCCACCAACAGGTAGTGCTGCATATTCTCTATATGACACTGAGTAGTAGAAAACAAAGGATAAATACTTGCTATACATACATATAAGACAAGGTTTGCTGATACCAAAGCTACCAAAGAATCAGCCAAACTTTAAATAGAGCTCTTTCCAAGACTAATCTAAACATAGAAATGTTCAAACCGTCTAAGGTAGTAAAATCACATTCAGTTTGTTGTATAAAATCAGAAAGTAACTTCTCTTCTTAAAACATATTTACACACAAAACAAAAAACAATATCGGAGTCTAAAGCAAAAGTCAAACACAAAAACCGAAACAAAAAGTTTTCGCAGTAGGAAACCTTTAATCTGATGAACACGAATTTCTTTTATCGGAACACTAAGTTTTACAGTCATACAAGACGTGAGCTGCATCCTAGACTCTACGGCTCACACAGAGTCAAAAAATAAGCATGCGACAGAGATCTGCTTTGTGCATATGAAAAAATAGCATCTTGCCGACTCGATTTTTTTCTGAATAACACTCATCCACTGCAGCTAGGATCTGTTGCGCTAAAAAGGAGCAGGACGGCTTGCAACGATAATACAGTTTGATTCAGTCTGTCCAGATCGAGACAGATATACTCTAGTAATACGTCATACAAAAAAAAACAGATACAAACAGCCTCTTGTTGAGGGGTTTTAGTAAACCGACAGGATAAGGAAAGGCCAAAGGTGGAAAATGAGGAACAAGAACTGCAATAGAAACATATCTCCATCTCTACTTTGGCACTATTGTTACAGTGTACTAACTCTTTCTGAGTGTAGAAATGTAACAAACATGTAGATAACTTTTAGGCAGAACAAGAAAAATGCTCCAGTCTTTTATGCATTGCAGGGATGCGAAGGACAACTGTATTGTACCTTTAACACCAAAAGAGATAGTAACTGATACTGAGACACATTCATTCACATAATTAAAGGCTGTAGGACGGCAGAAAACTACAGCTTGGAGTTTGGGAATACAGAGTTGGGCTGAATAACGCACAACAGGATGAGTCGGAAATTTCAGTGCCATGCCATTCTCCACCTTCCCTTAAATTGCATTATGTTCTGACGCAGAAACTAGAGGATCATTTGAGTCTGTTGACAGTAGGGCGTTGGGTATTTCCTCCTCATACCACGCTGTGCAGAGATGGATGGATGAACTGAGGGTTAATGAAGGAGAAGCCAGCAAACTCGCTCTGGTCGATGTTGGCAATGACCAGCTGGTCGGGAGGGGTCAGCATGGGCTGCGTACGCGTGAAGAACTTGTCAAAGTTCTCAGCTCCCTTTCCACACTAAAAGAAATGAGAGGAATGTTAGTATTTCAAACTTCAGAGAGTATAAATAATTAAAGATGGAAGCTTTTTCATGTTAGAGGGCTTCTCAAGGGGAGGGGATTCTGGGATAAATTTCAATGTTTCTTTAATGTCATTTCTATGAATGAACACCTTCTGACAAGCGTGGGAAGCCGTAACCCTCCCTCTTATATGTAGCCTTATATGGCATTATTGGGGTGATAATTATGCAGATTTTTTACATCTCTCATGAGTGTCCGCTCACTTATTCACAGGTGGACTGCATCAAGTTTATGGGGATCAGTTGTGATCATTCACTAAAGTTGAGAATGTTTGCTGAATCAGATGTCTGGGTTTGGTAAAAGCCCGCGGATGTAGAAAAAATAAGAGAAATATACAACTAGAATACGAAAATGTTGCATGAGGACCAATGTGTGTTCATATGTTTGGTAATAGTGAACAGAGCCTCATGATGATCAAGGATTAAAGCGGACGATTCAGGGAGAAAGAAGATGCAAAACATCATCACTTTGATTCCTCTGCTGTTTACTCAGATGAGACTCGACTTTGTCTCTAATATTCTCATTATTTACACTCTGATTTTTTCAAGACTGCAGAGAGAAGGTGCTGCAGCTGGTTGATTGATGGACCATTAAACAATCTGATCTATGACATGGAGGAAGCCAGAAATCTTAACAGACCTCAACAAAAAAGAAAGCTGAGCCATGCTTTACATTTGTGTTCTCATAATAGAAGGAATGAGAATTTCAGGTTGAAAAACAGCATCTATACTTGATGAGAGGCTGAATACTAATACACTAAAAACTTTTAGTATGTAAAAAAAACATTGCTTTTTCTGTTAGATAAAATTCCTATAATATGAAGTGATGATTTTTGTGTCTATCCTGTATTATTGTTCTATGATAAAAAAAAAATGTAAATACATAAATAAAAGGGGCAGGGCCACTTCTGTAAAGCATGTCAGATCAGAGTACTTAACATGTGATATTGACTTCTGGCACCTCGTTTTTCTAATGCTTCTACTCAGGAGACCTATAAGCATTCCTGATACGCCGCTCCATAATTTTACACTAGTAGAGCCATAAAGGCTCAGACAGATCCCATTTGCACTCCCTTCAGACCAATTTGTCCTGCAGCATTAGAGCTCACAAATGTAATAAGGCACACAGCAGCCCTAATGGATCCACCTGCATATAGAGGTGTTTTCTATTCCTTAGGTGTGAGTGGAGACAGTGACATCGACTGTGAAGGCTTGCATTTATTTTGTGTGGAAATAAAGGGAAACTGTACTATTTTTAACTCTCACTGAGCATTGAGGGGTTGAAAGAGGCGGCGGCCAGAAAACAGAAAAGGAATATTGTCTGTGACAGCAGGTAATACTACCAACTGAATAAACATGCTTAAAAAAGAAATGATTTCAAAGCTTTGTAACTTAACTTTACATGGGATGCTTCAGTTTTGTGTGTCTAAAATTAACGGTTTGGTTTTGATTTATAAAACATTTCTTTATTTGTAAATTCATTTTATCTAAAGTTGAGGCAGACATGAAAGGCTTGAGTATAAGGCTGTTGTAAGCTAAAATTTTGAATAAGTATTTTAAACTGCATAACAGTCGACTCTAAACCTGTTTTAAGAACTTTGATATTTTTGCAGCGATGTGTAAAAAAGAGAGCAAAGGACTGATGTTACCACCAAGGATAACTGCCTGTTATACTTGTTATAAAGTAAGTTAGCTGGAACTAATCATGGATTACCAATTTCAACCTCTGCTCAAACGCACATCCACCATACTCACCACTTTGGGTTTGAAAGGCGGCTGGATCTCTCTGTTAGCCAGGCGTTCCCAGTCGATGCGTCTGAAGAAAGCTTGCTCTCTGATGTCCCGCTCACCTTCCAAGCTGCAGCCGAGGCGCTTTGATGGATGCTTGGTCATCAGCTTAGGACAAAACAAACGAGAAGAGGGTGACGAAAGAAATCTAGCTTGATGCTTCAAAATAATAATGACACAGATGATGAAAAAAGAGAGACAGGATAGGCTGTACATAAATAGAAGACAGATTGTAAATAGGCTTAATCGTTACAGGTAGCACTAATGTTTCACAGATCTAGTGACCTTTAATTCAAACCATGAAAGATTATTTGTAATCTTTCATGGAAATCTATTATGTCGGTCGTTCTCAGACGATGAAACATATCTTATCTGACGCATTGGGATTCAAAATAATAAAGCTTTGTTGTTCTAATTAAAACCTCCATCAGACTGCAGCCAGATGGCAATAGAACCATTAGCTGTTTAGGGATTAACTTTGAAAGCTCAGATGCTAATCAGTAAATTATCATAATAAATAACTCTGTTGACAGCTTCTTTGTGGAACTGCAACAAAAGTACAAAAAAATTAATTTTCAGGTTAACAAGGATCCTTAAATGAAGGGGTAATTACTTTTCCAATGAATTCCTGTAACAGAGCCAGCTTCTTAAGCTACGTTCCCACTGCAGGCCTTGTTGCTCAATGCTGATTTTTTTTTCAGAAATCGGATTTTTTTGCGTTGCTGTTCACATTACCAAATATCTGTGACTTGTATGTGATCTCCTGTGTGAACTGTAGTCATACAACCTAAGGGTCCTGCATGCGCACTACAGGACGCAATGACGTCACAAGCAACCTTGCTCTGTGTTTACAAAAGTAAACATGGTAGTGCTGGAGCGCATCTAGAAATCTTTCCCAACCTTAAAAACACAATCTTTTCAAGATGGTTAAATATAAATACAACTCTCCGCATTATTGTCCACCATGGTTGTTGTTTTTCTTGCCGCTTCTGCATGGCAAGACGCAGAATAGTGACCATTGTCAGGTATTAATGATGCTCAGGTCAGATGAATACCACCTGCCTGTTCAGACACAAGTCGCATTTAAAAAGATGAGATACGTATCGGATTCAGGACCTCATAGCCAAGTGGCCTGGGTTGCATTGGAAAAAATTGGATCTGTGTTGTTCAGACTGCAACAAAAAGATCGGATACAGGTCGCATATGGGGAACAAAACTGATTTGGTCACTTCAGGCTGCAGTGTAAACGTAGCCTAAGCATATGTAAAGCTTTGCTTATCTCAATATAAAGAATATAGTATTATTTTATATATAAAATTTCAATATCTGGATATTGTTTGAATATGGAAATTGCCCAATGGACACACAGAGGAACCAAAACATAAATACAGTGATCTAAATGTTTTCAAATGTTGTTAATTTGACATACAGACAAAAACATTTTCTGTTACCTTTTTAAAGAAGACAAAGACTCATTGTTTTAGTGTTTTACTCTGAGAAATTAAGTTATCTTTCTTCATTTGTAAATTTACAAACTTTGTATGTATTTGAAGTGTAGCTTAATGCAGGCCTTTGACTATGATGAAAATTTTAAGTCTTTTCTAGAATTTTCATTACTTGTTATGAAATTTCCTCTTAGTTCAAATGTAGTTTTTAATATAAAAGAAAAGCAAGATGGGATCAAGGTTAATCATTACTTTGGTTTCATTATTGGTGTCAAGCAGTGAATGTTTACATTTTTATCTAAGATATTTTCATCTAAATAATGTTAAGCTTCCAGAGCAAAACTCAGGAAGCGAATGCGACAGAGAGTAACTTATATTACCCTTCCTGGCAGGATCTGCTTTTCTAGCGTTCACTGTAGGTTAAAGTTCTTACATGCATCTTTGGCGTTTGACCATAATTTAGCCAATAAAATAAAAAGCTGAATTCAAACTGTGCCTATATGCAAGGCTCATAATGCAACCCTGCAGTGTCGCCGCTACAGACTGAGTTCAGTCCTCAGAAGATACAAGCTTCTCTTTAAAATGTTAGATGTTGTCTTGATATAACTTTTACATTTTCTTTCCTTCCTATATACAATGAATAATAGATTTAATGGAAAAGTCTGGTAAAAAAAAAGAAGATAAATCTTCATCCCTGCTTTAAAAGCAACCACACATAATGTGTCCTTGCGAAGCCATTGCTTCGTCACAGTTTCAGATTCCTCTTTGCTTTTTGAAACAGAGGTACCAAGGTTGTAATCAATTTAAATGAAAGCATCTTTATTTGTAGCTCTTAATTTGGCTCATTTTAAGCAGCAAACAGACAGATAAATGCTGGCATGGACCAGACTGAAAAATGATACTAATACGTTTTTACATCTTAAAACATTCAAAACTATTTTTAAAACAGTTTATCTTATAAATAGGACAGGGCGGAGCTTTTTAAGAGTAAATTTGTCTGATTAAAAAAACTATCCTCAGTTAAATATAAATAAAAAGCCAAAAACAGTGTAAAGTGATGTCATTAACTTACTAATAAGGGGGAAAGTTATTCCGTCCAAAGCTGACCAAAGCTCAGTGAAACAGCACCACTAGAGTGAAAATTCATCTACATTGGTCAGCATTAAATGATGTTTAATAAATGTCATAGCTTAATCTCTGTATGATGCTTGATGCTTTTTAAAAACATAGAGACATTTTACATGATCTTATCTACAGTAATATACAAACACTGATGGATAAACTAGTTTTCATCTTTTGGAAATTAACATTTTATGGGTATTTAATTTACTTCCCTCTAAATTAAATAGATGTTCTTCCTCTAAAGAAAATCTTCTATTAGTCTACATATTTTTTTATTAATATTTTTTTCATGAAAAATTTGTTTCTAGAGCTGAGGTATGGACTTTATCTGCTGAGCCAAATGCAACACTGAAAGTAAAAAAAGAAAAAAGAACACAGGATAGATTTGCAATTCTCTCCCACTCTCCAATGTTGCTAAATAGAGTGAGCCGCAAGGACACTACGCTCCAAAGCATTGTCTCATACCTATCTCTACAAAATAAAAATTATGAAGCATGTCTAGCTACTGTTGTGTTTTGTCCAAATGTCATGAAGGGAATGGAAAAAAAAAAGTATGGAGGTGTGAATCTCTGGATGATTGTAAAGCTTCTGTTTTCAGGTTATGAGAGCAGTGTGTTGAAAATTTCCTGTCAAAGTAAAACATCTCATGTCACACTACAAACTCTCTTATGTAGGAAGGTGCTAAATTCAACTTATTATTTTCTCAGTTTCTATTTCTTCCAGATGAAAACCAACAGCTGAGGTCATAGAGATGGTCCTCCTAACTCTTGCATGTCTGAACAGTTTTCAAGCAAACTCCACTCTGCTTCATCATCAGACCCTGCAGCTCTGCAACAGGACCAGGCCTGTTTTATAACTATAACCTGGTGCCACTTTTGGAAGGTGACAGAGTGTTGCAGATCCATAGAAGGAGGATAATTGGATTTCAAATTGCTCTTTGTCATCTGTTTTTCTCCTTATTTTTAGATGTAAGACAACTGCAACATTTAGAAGTATTGTGTATCTTTATAAGGAGGGTTGCTTGGATATAATTTAAAATCTGTTTCTTTTCATTGAATTAATCCGCTCTCCTTACCCCTTTGCAGATGGACACTGCCTCTTTAGACATGGACTTTGGGTAGGACACATTGTGCTCCATGATAGATTGGAAGAGCTCGTCCTCGTCCTCACCATCAAACGGAGGCTAGAAATTAACAGAAGTAGCGTTAGACAGTACCTGCAATGGTGACAATTTACAGCTTGTTATGCTCTTCACTCAGAGGTGAAGTTGAAGGTGACACTGCTGCGGCACCAGAGGTGTCAAAGCATCTAAGGCTCTAAACAAAAGAAATATCTATCTATCTATCTATCTATCTATCTATCTATCTATCTATCTATCTATCTATCTATCTATCTATCTATCTATCTATCTATCTATCTATCTATCTATCTATCTATCTATCTATCTATCTATCTATCTATCTATCTATCTATCTATCTATCTATCTATCTATCTATCTATCTATCTATCTATCTATCTATCTATCTATCTATCTATCTAGTATGGTAAGTTTAAGATAAGTTATTTCTGTAAATAATGACATATATGAAACTGAAACTATAATTAACAGTACTTATTAGAATAACTCAAAGTTCAGTGATTATGCAGTGCTTAGAGTTATTCCTCCATTAATCAAGTCAAACAAAATCTTTAGTATAGAAAAAGAGAATTGTAATTATTTTCTGCAAAATTTATGGCAATTATAAAAATATAGGTTAGAAAGAGATAAATTATAAAAGGACTATAAGAAAACGAATAATTCTCAAGAACCCTTTTGTATATCAGACAACCATCTGCTGTAAAACAGAACATACATTTCCCAATTTTAATCAGTAATGGTCTATTCTCCCTCAATGTATTAAAACTTGAGAACCAATCAAGGTTTTACAGCAGTGAATAGTCATATTTTTCTCATCAGCTAATTTTTCCGCATGGGCAAATCTCTAAAAAATGTTTTTGGACACACTGGGTTCTTCGAAAAACCTCCTGTGTCATTATAACACTAAAAACATAATCTGCATGATGTTCCTTTGATTAAAAATAATAACTTTTACTTTTTTAAAATTATTTGATCTCTATCAAATCTTTTGCTTTCACCAACCATCAACAATGTTTTCAAGACTCTGTTCTTAATATTGAAAAGTTTATTGCAGGTTTCACCACTTTACTGTGAAACTGTGTGTTTACTGTAAAACCATTAAAATAGGATTTTAATCTATATTTACAAACCAAATACCAAAACTAGCATAGTTTAACAGTTGTTTATTTAAGCAGCTATACTGTATTTCTTACAATCTTTAGGTTTTCAAATCTTTACTGATGTGTTTTTAAAAAATACTTTTTTTTCAGATTATATTTACAATAAAATATATTTAAACTCGAAAACAGACATAAAAAGAGTCCAGGAACAATTTCTCAAACATCAACGTCTTGAAACAGGTTCCATATATAAAAAGTCAGACAGAAAACTGTTGAAAATAAGAGGAGTTCAATAAATGAAGGAAAATCCTGGATCATTGTTTTATAAAAAAGATGAAAATTGTGATTGAAAATCTTTGCAATAAAGCAGTGAAGAGTAAAAATGCTTTACCTGCCCGGCCAACATCTCATAGAGGAGAACTCCATAAGCCCACCAGTCCACTGATTTTCCATAAGGCTGGTAAGCTATTATCTAAGAAACAAAAGAGACAAAACCCTCATAAATGTATAAATATATTTGTTACCATCAGACCTCAGACAGAACAGATGTCGATGTTCTGTCAGATGAGCACATCTGGTCAGACCAGCATACCCAGCAAACCCACAGTCAATACCTATTTATCCCTTTAGTATAGCCCCATTTATCCCTGTAGTTTTTTGTATGAAAATTAGACTTAAAACTACCTCAACGGGCATGGATGCCTTTAGTCATGTACAAAAAAACTACTCAATTACTTATTTTTTGGTGATTTTTTGAAGCGTATGGTGATCTGACCTTAAATAGTTTTTTTCTACATGACTAAAGGCATACACGCGAGTTGAGGGAGTTTAAAGTCTATTTTTCATACAAAACTACATGGATAAGCACAAATCTGATGTCTTGCGCATGCCTATGGGTATGCTGGTCCGACAGGCTATGCTGATCTGACAAAACGGCGCCTCCAGAACCCCAGTGATATTCTGGGTACGGCCTGATCTTCTATGGTGTGGTCAGCAGGGGGTATATGGAAGCTCAGAGAGGGACAGGAGGAGACCTTCTAACAGATCAGAAGGGCTCTGTCATCCACTGTCCTTTGGGCTCCACTGAGGAGGTGGGTGAGACAGGGATGTTGTTACGGCCAGTGGCCTTTTCTGTGTTTGTGTTTATTTTATTTTTTTTTCAGAGGCCTGATCAAATTGACTGCACCTGGAAGTGGATGTTTTTCCTGTGACACACCTTGGGGCCTACCGTGATTGGATCACCAATTGCCGGCTCCACCAATCATTGTTGAGGCCTCCATTTAAAACCAAAGGACTTCCTAGGGGAAGGCGCGGCTGATCCTTTGTTCAGACAGCTTGCCATTTTGTGGGGTGTAGGTTTGACTGCTGTAAAACTGGTGTTAGCTTTGATAGCTTAGTCTGCTCTAACAGATTTTGTTCACCTTGATTTCTTGTGTAATTTGCTTTGTCCCGGTGGGGGAACTTTGAAACGCCGTTAGAGACTTGTATTTTAGTTTTGTTTAACTTGTTTTGAGAGATCATTTTTGTTTGGTTAAGTTCTTTGATTTACATCTTTGTTTTGTGGATTTTGTTTTAGTGAATACTCTGTTGTTGAGAGTCCCTACACTTTGATTAATAATTGTTACCCTTATTTGTTTATTTTGAAAAACTCCAAACAATAAATCCCTAAATTGTTAAAACCTTACCACCAGGGTTTCTTTAATGTTACTTCCTTTTTCCCTGGCTGAGCCGGGTCGTAACATTTAAATGGGGGTTTGTCCGGGATATGTTTAATACAATCCTGTGGCTACAGTTTAGGGAAATTTGTTTGGTTTTGCTGCTTGGGGGTTCCGCTGTAAGATCTGTGCTGTTAGTTCAGAAATGGCTCAGTTTAATATTGACCAGTTCTTGGAACAGCCTTCCTTTGAGCAACTTGCATCTTGTCGTAAAGCTGATTTGTTTGAGATTGCAAGTTACTTTTCCATTTCTCATTCCAGACAACTACTGAAGAAGGAACTAAGGGATCTAATTGTAAATAAACCGGTTGAGTTGAATTTGTTATCTTTGCCTTCACAGATCAAAAGCTCATCGGCTCTACCAACTGTTGCTGAGCCTGCTGCAGAGACGGAGTCTGCTGGCCCCTCTAACCTTGCAGAGAGACCTCAGGAGCAAACACCAGAGGGCGACATGAAGGTGGTTGGTGGGATTCAGACTCCTGTCACACTTCCTAGGTTTGATCCCCTCTCGGCTTCCTCTGGATCTGTTGGGTCCAAAGTTGATGCTCGCCTGAAGGTTCGTCTCGCCAGATTGCAAGCTGAGGCTGAGGAGAAGGCACAACTCAGGCAATATCAGCTTGAAATTAAGCGGTTGGAAATTGAGGCTGAAAAAGCTATTAAGCTTCGACAGCTAGAGCTTGAGTATAAGGCCAGATTTCCAATTCAAACAACCAGTGAGAGCCCTAGTATTTCTGGTGGGCCCTCTATTAGACCCTTTGACATTACAAAGTATGTTTCTTTAGTACCTGAGTTTCGAGAGGCAGAGATTGATTCTTACTTCTCTGCTTTTGAGCGCATAGCACAGGCTTTGCAGTGGCCCCCTGATGTTTGGTCTTTGCTGCTTCAGTGCAGAATCCATGGTAAAGCTCAAGAGGTTGTAGCCGCCCTCCCTCTTTCAGACACCCTAAAGTATGATGTGGTTAAAGCTGCCATTTTGAAAGCTTATGAGCTTGTACCTGAGGCTTACCGGCAAAAATTTAGGTCTTTTAAGAAAAGCCCCTCACAGACCTATGTAGAGTTCGCCAGAGAAAAGGGAAGTCTCTTTGACCGTTGGTGTGCTTCAAATAAGGTGACAAATTTTGACACTCTGAGAGAACTTGTTCTGTTGGAAGAGTTCAAAAATTGTCTACCTGAAAGTGTTGTTGTTCATTTGAATGAACAAAAGGTAAACTCACTGTCTTCTGCTGCTGTGTTAGCTGATGAGTATGTGCTTACACATAAGTCTACCTTTCAGTCTGTGCTCAATAGAAGTGTGTCTATAAAATCAGCTGTTGAACCACCCAAGTTAACTCCTCAAAAGAATGACAAGGAGTGTTTCTATTGTCACAAAACAGGTCATCTCATTGCTAATTGTTTAGCCTTGAAACGAAAAGAACAGAACACACAGTCCAAACCAAAAGGTGTGGGGCTAATAAGGAACCAGTCTCCTACCCCACGAAAGGCTGACCTTGGCTGTACTCCTGATCCGTGTTATGAACCTTTTTTGCTAACTGGATATGTTTCATTACCAGGAAAACTTGCAGATCCACATCCAGTTCGTATTTTGCGTGACACGGGTGCCTCCCAATCTATTATGTTAACTGACTCCCTACCGTTTTCTGAGTTGTCATCTTGTGGCTACAGTGTTGTTCTGCAAGGACTGGAAATGGGTTATGTCCCCCGGCCTGTACACTTGGTGCAGTTACAATCAGAACTGATTTCTGGTATTTTCCCCATTGCTGTTTGTTCTGAGCTTCCAGTTAAAGGTATTTCCCTTTTACTTGGTAATGATATTGCAGGTGGTAAAGTAACACCTTCCCTGGAAATATTAGACGTCCCCTGCTCCCGTCCTAAGAACGACGATGCAATACAGACTACTGTCTCTACTTCCTGTGTGCTCACCAGGGCTCAAAAATTGAAGAGAAACTCAGAAGAAAATGTAGACTTGTCTGACAGTGTGCTTATGTCAATCTTTTCAGAGGAGGAAAAAGTACCAGCTACAACACAGTTGCCCGCAGTCCCCCAGCTGAAACCTGATGTGCGACAAGCTGATTTCGGTTCTTCTCCCATCACCCGATCCCAGCTTTGTGCCGCTCAGAAGGTGGATCCAACTCTAAAAAGGTACTTCTCAGGTGTTGTAAGTGCTGACAAAGCTAGAGCTGAACAAGTAGCATTTTATGTAAATGATGGAGTATTGATGAGAAAATGGTGCCCTGTTGTCCTCCCTGATGCTGACTGGATTGTGGTACACCAAATTGTAATTCCATCAAGTTACCGCAAACACATTTTGGCCTTGGCACATGAAGGAAGCTGGGCAGGACATCTGGGGGTAACAAAAACTTATCAGAATGTTCTGAAACATTTTTACTGGCCCGGATTAAAAACAGATGTACGCCAGTATTGTCGCAGCTGTCATACCTGTCAGGTAACTGGTAAACCCAACCAAGTTATCCCTCCTGCTCCTCTCCATCCTATTTCTGTGGTTGGAGAACCTTTTGAGCAAATTATCATGGACTGTGTTGGGCCACTTCCACGCACAAAATCTGGTAATCAGTTCCTGCTCACCTTAATGTGTGCCTCAACTCGTTACCCAGAAGCAATCCCACTGCGTAAGATCACTTCCAGCTCAGTAGTAAAAGCGATGACAAAGTTTTTTTCCACCTTCGGCCTTCCTAGAGTAATTCAAACTGATCAAGGCACAAACTTTCAGTCTAAGCTTTTTACGCAAGTCCTTAAGGAACTGAACATACAGCATACAGTCTCCAGTGCCTATCATCCTGAATCTCAAGGAGCTTTGGAGCGTTGGCATCAGACGTTAAAGTCTATGCTACGAAAATATTGTATAGAAACAGAAAAGGACTGGGATGAAGGGTTACCTTTTGTTTTGTTTGCAGCTCGGGAGGCTATTCAAGAGTCTCTAAGATTCAGCCCAGCTGAGTTGGTGTTTGGCCATACGCTCCGTAGCCCTCTAAAAATCCTTAAAGAGAAAATCTTGGAGATAAATGTTTCTCCCCAGGAGAACATTTTGGACTATGTCTGCAAGTTCAGAGAAAGACTGCATCAGTCTTGTGCTTTTGCAAAAGAAATATTAGGGGAGTCTTAAAGGTCCATGAAGAAGCATTATGACCAGTCTGCCCTGTCTCGTTCTTTTGCCAAGGGGGAAAAAGTCCTGGCTTTACTACCTGTTCCTGGTTCTACTCTTTCTGCCAAGTTTTCAGGACCTTATGTGGTTCAGGAGAAGTTGAGTGAGACAGATTATGTAATCAGCACTCCTGAAAGAAGGAGAAAATCTCGGGTCTGTCACATAAATATGTTAAAGCCGTACTATTCTCGAGACCCAAACGGTAATCCTGACCGTCAAACAGGTCAACCTTTACCTTCAACTTGCTCCTCAGCATTGATTGTAAGGGAGTGTTCTGACTCTGCTGTAGAGGATGGTTTAACATTGCGTTCCATTTCTTACCAAAGCTCACGATTGTCAAACTCTGAAATGTTGAAGGTCCTACCTAACCAGCTTTCACATTTAACAGAGGAACAAAAAAATGATATTATTGTCTTGCTCAATAGTTACCCAGAACTGTTCCGTGATGTGCCAACACAAACTTCAGTGCTTAAACATGACATTGATGTTGCTGGGGCCAAGCCAATAAAGCAACATCCGTACAGAACAAACCCAGTTAAAAGAATCTTGATGAACGGTGAAACAGACTACATGTTACAACATGGGTTTGCTAAGCAA